CACCTCGACCTCCCAAAGTTTTAGGATTACAGGCGTGAGTCACCATGCCCCGCCCCTCCTGGAGACTTGCTGCTCACTTCCCGCAAACCTGGCCTGAGGTGATTTGGAAATGGGGCCCCTTCCTTGGAGAAGAGAAGAGAGGCTTGCTGTGGGGTTAGGGCAGCTCCCTCGGCTCTCCAGCTGCCATGTGCTTGTCTGCATAATGAGGCTGTTAGATGGCATCTGATGCTTTCTCCCATGGCTGGTGCTCTCTTCTTCCGTGAACTCTGGGATTGAATTAGGGGTGGGGATTGCCATTTTGCAATTTCTAAGGAGTCCTTTTTTTTTTTGAGACAGAGTCCTGCTCTGTCACCCAGGCTGGAGTACAGTGACGTGATCATGGCTCACTGTAGCGTTGACCTCCTAGGCTCACTGTAGCGTTGACCTCCTCCCACGTCAGCCTCCTGCATAGCTGGGACTACAGGCACGCACCTGGCCAATTTTTCATTTTTTTATAGAGATGGGGTTTCACCATGTTGCCCAGGCTGGTCTCGAACTTATGGGCTCAAGCAATCCTCCTACCTTGGCCTCCCAAAGTGCTGGGATTACAGGTGTGAGCCACCTCGCCTGGCCATCTGGGGAGTTTTGAATCATCAAAGGTCTAGAGTTGGTGCCCCAAATCTCTGGAATCCTCTTAGAGCGTGTGCTGGGATGGGCTGTGACCCCAAGGTCAGCCCTGCCAGGTGCGAACAGGTGAGCAACACCTGCTCCTTCTCAGGCCACCCATTCACTCCACCTGTTGGAGTCTTCGTTCCTGGATCCAGTGCCCTCTTCCCTCCCCAGCACTCTGCCAGGTCTGCTGGGCTCATGACCTTTCTCCCTTCCACATTGGCCCCAGCACAGGCATGAGGGTCATCAGGACTCTCATCTCCATGTCTGTCCCCTTGGAGCTTGGAATTGAGCCATGTGCATACACTCGGGGCCTGGTGGTTCCCACACTGCAGCTGGGCTCGCATGTCCCTGCCTCTCAGCTTAGCATCCATGGTATGTGGGGCAGCAAGTGCCCAGATCTGAAGACATCCCTGCCCCTGTCCACCTCTGCCTTCTGATCAGCTTTCTGCCTTGGCCTGTCCTCTTCCTTGTCCATTCTTCCAGTTGACTTGAGCCTTGGCAGCAACCACCACCCCCACAAGGTGACCAGCCATTGTGTTTTTGCCATGTACCAGGCACTGTGCTAAGTGCTTTCTGGGTGTTATTCTTAACACCCCATGAGGTAGGTAGTAGTCACACCGTTTTATAGATGAGGAAACTGACGCACAGAGAGGTGAAATAACCTGACCACGTAGCGAATCAGGAGTGGTGCTGGAGTGTTGATTAGCAGGAGTGTTGATTAGCAATTGCGTCCCATTCCCCTCTCCCTGCAGCCCCTCCCTGGCAACCACTTATCACCATTCTGTCTGTGGATTTGCCTGTTCTGTGCATTTCATGGAAGTGGAATCACACAACATGCGGCCTTTTGTGCCTGGCTCCTTTCACTTGGCATCATGCTTTCTAGGTGCATCCGTGTGTAGCATGCATCAGGACTTCATTCCTTTTCTTTCTGTTGTCTTTATAGTCAAACGCTATCATTGTTTATTTTGTTTATTTTTATTTTTGAAAACTAATTATTTTTACTTCTTTTTATGGGTGAACAATATTCCACAGTATGGAACAACCAAATTTCATTTATCTGTTTGTTGGCAGATGGACACTTAGTTTCCCCCTTTTGGCCATTATGAATCGTGTTTCTTGTTCCTTTTGGTTTGGTTTTCCCGAGAAACTCTTTGCAGTGCCCAGTTGTCTGTATTCCTCTAGCTTGGCTATTTGGAAAGCAAGAGAAAGCATAGCTGAGCGTGGGTGGGTGGGTGGTTAGGAGGGGTGTGGGGAGGGATGCAGAAAAGGGGAGTTGCAGGCTTTGGGAGAACCCTGCGCTGGGGGGAGCCTTACACCTGGCCCCAGAGCCATCTGCTGCTAGGCAAGTGTTTTTCCTGTGGTTGATTATTAATTAGGGACCTGTCTTCATCTCAGGCAACTCTTCCCGAGCACAAACTCTGTCTTTCCACACACCTTGGAAGAAAAGGATTGGAGAAAGAGAGTGAAGGGGTCCCTCTGATCAGTGGTCCAGGGCATGATACAGAGGTCTCAGTTGTTCAGGAATCTCTGTCTCTGGGGAAGCAAATTCATTTCCCCCCAAGATCCTTCACTCATTGGAATCGGATTCTGCAAATCACTCACCATCTCTAAGTGATACTCAGTGCCCCCCACTGGAAAATCTGAGCGGCGGCCCCTCCTCTGCCCACCCTGCCGGGCTGATGTGGGGATTCCCGGAGATAATAGCAGATGTCCTCCAGAAGTTGTAAGGCATCACACCCACGTAAAAGATGAACAGGGACCCATCCTCCACTGGCCTGGAGCCACCCAAACAGCCTCTCCATGTTCAGCCACTACTAAGTGTCCAGCTTATTCCTTCCGGCATTTAGTAAACCCTTACATATCACTACTGAAGTTCTGATTCTCTTTCTTAATATTCTCCTACATGTAGTGATTTTTCTAGCCCCATACTGTGATATTAATAAGTAGGCCCTATGAACGTTTTAACATAACAGTGCAGAGATCTGAGGATCGAGGGATTGCATGACCTTCCCAGGTCCACGTGTCTCTAGTGGAACTGGGGTCCAGGCCCCCACTACACCAGCCCTCTGCCTTTCTGTATCGCCTCATCTATGTGAAGGCATCGCCCACGCAGTCTTTCTAATCCACATATAAAGTGCTCACTGAACTCCATGATCTTCCTGAGACCCAACTTTGATTCAGATGACCCTGTTTGGAAGCCAGTAAACAATGGGATCAGAAGTTAGAACTCAGAACCAATGATCGCAATTCTCCCTCTGGTCTTTCTGTCAGTAACATATCAGTGGCTCTCTGCATTGCAAAAAGATTAACCAGGATCTTCTCTGATAGAGACTTTAAGAAGATACAGCATCTACACCAAGAGGCACGTGACACAACCTGGACTCTGGGCAAACCACCGGGTGCACCCATATGAAGGTACCGTGGAAATTTATTACGTTGATTTAAGAATAACAATTGTGGATTATATCCAGTGTCCCATATGTAAGAGGAAGCTATGAATAAGTTAAGCCATATGTTCAAATGTGCCAGAGTTTTTATTTGCCTAGTCAAGAAGTATTGCTGAAATCACAAAATTAAATACACATTTAAAAGTCAATTTTGGTTCACATTTAATAGTAAGACAATCTTTCCAGCTAATGTCTAGACATGACTCAATTGTTGTACATTATTGTGAAGAGATCTCCCTGAAACAGTCATGCTATATTACAATTTAAAAAATGAATATGTTTCTTTAACCAAGAGTTTTAGACTGACATAAAGATTGAGCATGTGATATACAAAGTTCCCGTATTATTCTATTCTGTCACCCTACCTTATAATTCCACCTAACTTTCCCATCTTACATTACCGTGTTGTATTTGCTAAAATTAATGTGCAAATATTGATACATTCGTATCTAAAGTCTACCATTCACATAGTGTTCTTTCTTCCTGTTACACAGTTCTATGAATTTTGAAATATTTGCCATGTTATGTTTACCATTTTGATCTCCAAAACTTCCCTCTTCTTTACTTATGAATCTCTGTCCTCTTTCTCCAGAAATCTTGCCAACTACTGATATTTTTACCATCCCCTTGGTTTTGCCTTTTCCAGAATGTCATATAGTTGGAGTCATATATTAGGGTGGTGCAAAAGTAATTGTGGTTTCCCCATTCTTTTAATGCCAAAAAGCGCAATTACTTTTGCACCAACCTAGTATTATGTAGCTTTTTCAGATGAACTTACTTCACTAATCAATATACTTAAAGTCACCCTGCTCTGCTGCCTTTCTGTACGGTCTCATCCACTTGAAGCCATGCCCTTACAGTCTTTCTGATACATGCCTTTGTCTTTTCTATGCCTTGATGGAGAACTCCTTTAAATGACAGAATAATATTGTGTTTTATGGATGATTATTTTTTTCATTCACCTCTTGAACATCTCGCTTCTAGTTTCGGTGGTTATAGATAAAGCTGCTGTAAACATTCCTGTACAGGCTTTGTGTGGACATAACTTTTCATCTCAACTGAGTACATACCTAAGAGCACAATTTTTGGATTGTATTGTGAAAATATGTTGGGATTCGTAAGAATTTGGTGGATTTCATATGAGAAATCATTTGGTTCTGGTGTTGTCTTTTTTGGAAAGTTCTTAATGTTAAATCAATTAATAGGCAGAGGCTGTTCAGATGATCTGTTTCTAGTGCGAACTTGGGAAGATTATGTCTCTCAAGGAATTGATATATTTCACCTAGGTTATCAAACTGGGGGAATAGAGTCATTCATAACAGTCCCAGATTATCCTTTTAATGCTCAACAGTTTGGTAGATATGGCCCCTCTTTTATTTCTGATATTAACAATGTGTGTCATCTTTTTTTGCTTTGTTAGCCTGCATATTTATTAATTGTAATAATTACAATTAATAATTACAATAATTAATTGGGGGAATTATCATTGTTAATGTAGATGAACGCACATCCAGGAAAATGCTACCTACACTGAGCAATGATGGCGACAACTTGTCTTTTCAGTTCTGGATAGGACATAGGCATTTATCCAGCTCTCTGTTCAAATACACACACATGCACCACTCACGTATACACTTTTACTATGAATAAAATCTATTGCACTCTTATCATTTATAAAATCACATAATCCGGCTGGGTACGGTGGCTCACGCCTGCAATCCCAGCACTTTGGGAGGCCGATGCAGGTGAATCATGAGGTCAAGAGTTCGAGACCAGCCTGGCCAACATGGTGAAACCCTCTGTCTACTAAAAATACAAAAAATTAGCTGGGTTTGATGGTGAGTGCCTGTAATCCTAGTTACTCAGGAGGCTGAGGAAGGAAAATCACATAATCCATTAGGTGATATTCCAATGTTTATTTAACTCATAACTTCTATAATACATTAATTTGAACTTACAGAAATAAAAAAGTAAAGCATTTGGAAATTGATCCCAGAATACAGGACATTTCTATAGGAAACAAGATGTGAACATAAGACTCAATGAGTTGGATGGTGGCAATAATTAATACTTAGGACTCAATTTATAATCTAATCAAATTAGATTAAGTACAATCATGACATGTCCCGTATTTTTCTCCTATGACTTTGTATAATGCTTTTACCAAGTAGAAAGTTTCCAAGTCTACCCACCCAAGTAATTTTCTTACCCTGTTTTTTGTTTTTTTTGCAGTGGGGGTTTGTTTGGCCTCCCCAGGATGGACTGGAGCATCAGTAGTGCCTGGGTTCATCACAGGACAGATACTCAAGACACCCTGATCACCATTAGGTGGAATTGAAGGAGCCAAAAACGGGCGCAGTGGCTCCTCAGCAGAGACTCTCCTGAATGTATAGACATGGAAACCACCTTCAGCATCAAAAAAGGAAACATTCTGCATGCCCATATCCAGAAAAATCCCCACTCGCTGTAGCTTGCCATCTACGAAGAGGAAAGTCAGAGGCACCGTGCTGGCAGAGAGGCGGCCTCCAGCCCTCAAACTCACAGTCCAGAATCCACGCTCTGTGGTCAGCTGGATCCTCCCTTTTCGGTGAACAGATTCCTGCAGATTCCCAGGTCCCATTCTGTGCTTGTTCCCACGTCTACCTCCTAGTAGTGGCGGCCACAGGTAAAGCGAGAGGAGCCCAGGACACAAATGGACAAGTCAAATCTCTCGGCAAAGTCTTGCCGATTCTGTCTGATGCGCCCACTTCGGACGCTCCTGAGGTCATCAGAAATGAGGAGGAAGTTGTTGGCTGTGTTGGCATCCAAGGTCATATCCACTGTGAAAAGGAAAAAAGGTTGCTCAGCAAATGGACCGAAGCCCACCCCATGCTTCTCCTCTACTTCAAAGGCCCAAATGTCTCTTGACTTTAGTTTCTTTAATTCTCCCCCAAAATCAAAACTTCATGAGGCAACTTCCTTGACTAGTTCAAATTCTCACAGGTATGCTTTGTAGCAATACCCGACTCTTATTCACGGTAGCAATTCTTATTTTACTTTATGTCACATGTTTGCTTCATTGGACTTTTCTTCATTTAGAGTGGAGGGTCTCTGAAGGCAGACACCATGACCCCCTTTCTACCACCTTGATGCAGGAACAAATAAATAATAAGACAATGCAAGTGGTCGATATTAAATGATATTTGTTTCCACGTTTTATTGCTTCAATTTAAATAGTATCTAGAGCATGATTCCAGGCCTTTGTTTTCCATGTTTGTAAACAAATTAATTGTGCACAGTTCTGACAGCAGATGGGACATCTCTGCAGCTGACAATGTGATGACAGAGGAAGGAGGCGGTGAGATCTGGCCTAGAGAAAATTAATTGTCCAGAACATTCAGAAAAAGAAATCTACAGAACGTATAATCCTTCAAGTCAAAAAACTGATATGATCACCAATATAGATTTTATAGATTACAGTAAAACTTGAGGGGATTGATTGCTGTTTGATGGTGAGTTAGGGAATGAAATGAATGAACATGGGCAAGGAAGGAGGAAGACGTTTCCAAACATGACTTGGCCAGGGTGAATGTGTCCTCCATATTTCAGCAGAGAGACAGTCAGGTATTGGTAGGTGGAGGAGTAGAGATTGTGTCAGGGCAGAAGCTACTAGTGTCAGGGACATCATAGAGGCCCACCACCATTTATAGGTGTAATTCTTTGCCCAGGCTGACCATAATCTGTTCATTTAAATGTCCCTTTTCTCCGGAGTTATGGAGAGTGATAGTATTTTCTGTAGCCAGGACCCCTGTTGAAGCCCATGGTGCATGGATGAGGAGCGTCTGCAGCTCTCCCCACAGTCACAGAAACCACAGGTGCTCCATTCCAAACTCTTCCCAACCCTGGGGTGAGGTTGTTTGGTGCAACGGATGCCAATATTCACTGTGCATTAGAATTACCAGGCCCATTTTAATGTCAGAGTCCTGGGAACCTTTGCTAAAGAGAAATTCAAATTCAGTTGCTCTATGTTTTTGCTACTCAGCAAAGTCCCTAAGCCAGTGGGAACAATCCTGAGACCTCCTAGTTCAGAATCTGCCTTTTAACAAGATTTCCAGGTAATTTAAGCACACTAAGTTTAGAGAATCCCTTGTCTAACCCATGACATAGACATCGCGTTTTTGTTTGTTTTTGTTTTGGAGATCACCAGGTGATTCTGTGTGTTGTCAGGGCTGCGAATCTGATGATGAAGAAGCATCTCAATTTTAGATGCCAGACAGCAGCTAATCCCCATATGGAATGGGGGGCCAATTGCACAAATGATTTTTCCTGGTCTGGTCATGGGAAGGGGGCAGGGTATATAGATTCCTTACCTTGGAACTTGCTCATCCTTGGGTTCATCTGCAGAATCTTCTTCAGCTTGGGCTCCAGTTCCTTGATGTGGGAAACCAGCCTCTCTAGCTGCTGATTGGGCCTGACTTTGTTCTTCTGAGAGACCGCAGAACAGCAACAGCAAAGTAGGTCCTCCCCACGGGGCTCCTTCTGCAGTGAGTTGATGCACTTGAGGCAGACGCTGCATCCACACTCCAGGGACATTGGTTTTTCTAGATAGTCTGAGCAGACGGGACAGCTGCTCGCTTCTTGGAAGAGTGCAGCCATGTCCACTGCCAGGGGAAAAGTGCACAAGGGAAGAAAATTTCCATGAGATGAAAGCCTGTCAGTTGTGACAAGTGACAACCTTTTCATGCATACAGGTATTGTGTTCCAGCTTTGTCACTCCTAGAACAAGGCCGTGAGTACAAACACTCAAGTACATCCCCCCACCCCCGTCTTCAGAGATCTGAAGTTCTACTGGGAAGGAAGTCACAAATCATCACTGTGCTCTGAGCTGAGGTGGAGGAAGGGTTCATTCTCCTGAGCTAGGAGACCCAGCAGCTGAGCCTGAGCCAGTGACACGGCAGCACCCATGTGAGGAGCAGAGAGCTGGGGTCACTTCACCTCCTCCTAGGGCAGCCCGAGCGAGAGACTGATTGATGAACATAAGAATTAGTGGTTGGGAGGCCAGGCGTGCCTGTAATCCCAGCACTTTGGGGGGCCGAGGTGGGTGGATCATCTGAGGCCATCAAAAGTTCGAGATCAGCCTGATCAACATGGTGAAACCCCATCTCTACTGAAAATACAAAAGAATTAGCCAGGCGCGGTGGCAGACGCCTGTAATCCCAGATACTTGGGAGGCTGAGGCAGGAGAATCGCTTGAACCTGGGAGGCAGAGGTTGCAGTGAGCCGAGATTGTGCCATTGCACTCCGGCCTGGGCAACAGAGTGAGACACCATCTCAAAAAAAAAAAAAAAAAAAAGGAAAAGAGGTGCTGGATGCAGTAGCTCACATCTGTAATCCCAGCACTTTGCAAGGCCGAGGCAGGAAGATCCCTTGAGCCCAGGAGTTTGAGACCAGTCTGGGCAACACAGGAAGACCCTGTCTCTACAAATAATACAAAAATTAGCAGTGAGCAGAGATCACGTCAGGTCTCTCCAACCTGGACAACAGAGTTAAGACCCTGTCTCACCAAAAAAAAAAAAAAAAGAAAAAAAAAAGAAAAATTACATCCTTCTCCAGCCTTGGAAATGAATACCAAATTGACTGCCACCACTCCTAGACTGGGGATCCAGGGTGACTGGTTTCTAACTCTGAGGCAGCGCTCAGACAGCCCTTGTTGAATTCCTTACTTACAAATTTCTCTCATTCATTCCCCCAAGTCATAACCCCCATTTCTAGACATCTAAGGAGGAAAAACACACACAGGCATGGACTCACCTCTTCTGCTGGAAGCTCCTCTGTCCTCCAGCTGCTTCCACCAGGAGCTCAGGTCTTGTGGGGAAGGGGCACACGAGGGCCTTTCATTGGTGAGATTCCCACCTCCCACTGGGTCACACCCTGCCACGCCCTCTAACCTAATGAGGCTTTGATTTGATTATAACCGGGAGTTAGGTTTTTATTGGTAATATATCTCCAGTTCACTGTAACTTTACTAAATCCTCCATCCTGACAGTGTATTTTTCTTTCATATGAAGGTAAGATTAAATTGCCTTTATATTAAATTAGGCTTAATGTACTAACTTCAAAAGCTTATTTTAGAGATGTTTCCATCAGTTGTCAGGAAAGATAATTCCTGTAATGTGTTGTAGGCTTCAAGCTTTGCTTGGAATCCTAAAGTATTAAGTATGATTGGATTTGCAATTTTACAAAATGGTTTAAATTCGTATACATCAGACTCAAAGGTAATAAGGGCATGTATCCCATTGAGGAAATTCTAGGTAATTTTTTTTTAATTTCCATTGGTTTTTTTCTGGTTTTGAAAAAATTTCATAATTCTTAGGAAAAAATTGGATAATTACTATTTTGACAAATGACCCTTAAGCTTCTTGGACCTTGAGTACTTCAGAAAGTGTTAGGATAAAAACCACAATTAAAAAAAAAAAAAAAGATGATTTTCTTGTGAAACTTGAGTTCTCAAATAGAAATTGCTACCCGTGATGTGAGTTGTGCTTTCTTCCATTTGAATCAACCCCGAACCTTTTCCTTTTCATGCCTTTCTGTGTAGTGGGATCTTTACTGCTTTGTTTTCAAATTTCAAATAATTTGAATATAATCTTATCATTTTCCCTATCCCCTTTGGCACATATTAAAGGAATTTTCTCTTTTTGCATAATTAAAAATAAAGACCTAATTTTGGTCAGCTTTAAAGATGATCCCTCATGGGATTAGAGGACTCTGAGACACTCAGGTCTTGTTTTGGTTTACTTTTTTTCTCTTTACTTTCAGTTGACATGTAATAATCGTACATATTTATGGCACACAGTAGTATTTTGATACATGCATAAAGTGTGTAACAATCAAGTCAGGATAATTAGCACACTCTAAACAATTTTTTTTTTTTTTGAGACAGAGTCTCGCTCTGTCGGTCAGGCTGGAGTGCAGTGGCATGAACTTGGCTCACTGCAACATCTGGCTCCTGGGCTCAAGGAATTCTCCTGCCTCAGCCTCCTGAGTAGCTGGGATTACAGGCATGTGCCACCACGCCTGGCTAATTTTTTTTTTTTTTTTGTATTTTTAGTAGAAATAGGGTTTCACCATTTTGGCTAGGCTGGTCTCGAACTCCTGACCTCAGGTAACCCGCCTGCCTCGGCCTCCCAAAGTGCTGGGATTACAGGAGCGAGTCACCGTGCCTGGCCAACATTTATTATTTCTTTGTGATGGGAGCCTTCAGAATCCTCTTAGCTTTTCGAAAATATGCAAGCATATACAAGTAACCATATTTACCTAAACTGCAGTTGTGTTAGAGCCCATTTCTCCCAATTAGCTGTAATTTTATATCCAATTACCAATCTCTCCCCAAGCTCCCCTCCCCCTTACCCTTCCCAGCCTCCACCAGAGCCCATTTCTCCCATCTAGTTGTAATTCTGTATCCAATAACCAACCTCTCCCCAAGCTCCCCTCCCCCTTACCCTCCCAGCCTCTACACCCACGATTCTATTCTCTGCTCAGCGTTTTTCTTTTAGCTCCCATATAGGAGTGAGAACATGGGGTATTTATCTTTCCGGAGCTGATTTATTTTGCTTAACATCATGTCCTCCAGGCTGAGACTCAGGTCTTGACCGAGAGAAGTGATGAATCTGCAGGTATCATGGAAATGGCCAGGTTAGAACTTAATTTGTACTTAATTCATAAAATAATAGCTTTGTTTTCAAATTTCAAATAACTTGAATATAATCTATTTCCCCCTCCTAAAGTGTATCACATATTAAATGAAGAGTTTTTCTTTGTATATATATTTTTAAAAGACCTGCATTTAGTTCTATTAATAATGATGTACAATGGGACGAGATCACTCCTCGGGATTCAGTGTCTGAGCAAGAAAACAAAGCTTGGGAGACAGTGTGTAGGGAGCCCGGTGAACTTTACGTGATTGGAATGAATTGGATTCCAGTCATAAAGTAACCGTTTGGGGTTTGCTCTTGGCTGGATTCTGGGTCACTCCACATACACGTATAAAGACAGAGTCCAGCCCTGGCATATCCTGTATGTGAGAAAAACTTTCTGCCAAAACCAGGCTGGATACAACGTAAAGAGTGTGAGAATGACTTATGAAATGAGTCAGATTCACAAGATGATCCTTTCAGCTGCTCCAGGGAAGAAGGAACAGACAGACAGCAAGATAAATTTGCAGAAGAGTTATGATGTCAGTGAGCCAGCGGCACAGTGCAGGGTGAGGCAGCCAGAGCACAGAGAGGCAGCAAAAGCCACTCGGACAGGTGTGGGAGGGACACGGAGCCACGGCCCATAAAACCCAAAGGACAACTGTAACAATACTTTTTAGTATTTAAAATGCAATTTCTTATTAATCTACTTCATTGACGTTCATAGTTTGAGATGTTCCATATTTTTCTGCTGTAACTTTGTTCCGTTATCTTGTACCAAGCAGAAAAGTTGCTAGCATTGAGCATAAAGTGAGTGTCTAAATGGTTTTGTGGCTAAAAGTTTATTTGCCCTGCTCAGGAGAAACTGTAGATTTGTCAGTGCCAAGATTAATCACAGGACAGATACTCACGAAGCCTTGGTCATCGATAATTGAATCTGCAAGAGCAAAAAATGGGCACAGTGGCTCTGCAGCAGAAATCTTAGCAAATGTAAAGATATGGGTCCCATCATTAATGTTATAAAAGGAAATCATTCTCATACCCATATCCAGGAAAACGCCTACCCTGCGTAGCCCGGGACTCACGCAGAGGGTAGTTAAAGGCACAGTGCTGGCTGCAAAGAGCTTTTCTTTCCTCACACCCACAGTCCAGAAGCCAAGTTCTTTTTTTTTCTTTTTGTTTTTACTTATTTTATTATTATTATTATTATACTTTAAGTTCTAGGGTACATGTGCACAACATGTAGGCTTGTTACATATGTATACATGTGCCATGTTGGTGTGCTGCGCCCGTTAACTTGTCATTACATTAGGTATATCTCCTAATGCTATCTCTCCCCCCGCCCCCACCCCACAACAGGCCCCGGTGTGTGATGTTCCCCCTCCTGTGTCCAAGTGTTCTCACTGTTCAATTCCCACCTATGAGTGAGAACATGAGGTGTTTGGTTTTCTGTCCTTGTGATAGTTTGCTCAGAATGATGGTTTCTAACTTCATCCATGTCCCTACAAAGGACATGAACTCATCCTTTTTTTATAGCTGCATAGTATTCCATGGTGTATACGGGCCACATTTTCTTAATCCAGTCTATCACTGATGAACATTTGGGTTGGTTCCAAGTCTTTGCTATTGTGAATAGTGCTGCAGTAAACATATGTGTGCATGTGTCTTTATAGCTGCATGATTTACAATCCTTTGGGTATATGCCGGGCGCGGTGGCTCAGGGTTGTAATCCCAGCACTTTGGGAGGTCAAGGCAAGAGTACTGCTTGAGCCCAGGAGCTTGAGACCAGCCTGGGCAACAATGTGAATATATACAATGTGTGTGTATATACACACACACACTATATACATATACATACATATATATACATTATACATACATATATATATAGAGAGAGAGTGCAGGGAAGCCCAAGTCTGTTTCTTCCTATCCAAATCCAAATGCACTTCAACAATTGGGTTTGTCTTTTTCTCATTTATTTATGGGAGCTCTTTTTTTCATGTTTTGTAATATCTTTTGGACTCCACATTTTCAATTTCATTTGTGCTGCCTTTTGATATACAAAATGTCAATGGTTTATTATTTTTAGGTTTCCTGTTTTAAGAATGTTCCTCACCTTAAACCACCTGATAGAAAAATAGGAAAAGGTTATAAATAGGAAACTCACTGAAGTTAAAATAACTGATTAGTTAGCACTCCTGTGAGATAGCACTATATATATATATACACACTATATATATATATAGTATATATATATATAGCACTATATATATATATATATATATATAGATATGAAAAAGCAACAACTTTTGTTGCTACTGAGCCTACAGGGGAAACAGTCCTCCTGCTTGTTCCCTGTTGATAGGAATGTGAATTGCATCAACTTTTTGGAAAGTAACTAATCAGTATCTATTAAAAGTGTAAGTAAACATAGCTATGGCTGAGTTATACCACTACAAAGATTCTATCCTGTAGAAATGAAATCCTCCAGTGTGAAAGATGATAGCTACAACACTATTTGTAGTGGCAAAAGGTACTTAACCTGAATGTCCATATAAAGGGGAATTGTTGGCTGGGTGCAGTAGCTCATGCCTGTATTCGCAGCCCTTTGGGAGGCTGAGGTGAGTAACTTGAAGCCAGGAGTTCAAGATCAGCCTGGGCAACATGGCAAGATCCCATGTCTAAAAAAAATAGGGTGTGGTGGCATGTGCCTGTAGTCCCAGATACTTGGAAGGCTGAGGCAGGAGGATTTCTTTGACCCAGAAGTTTTTCTTTTTCTTTTAATTTCTGGCCTTACTGAATCACTGAGCCCAGAAGTTGGAGGCTGCAGCAAACTGTGATAGTGCTACTGTATTCCAGCTTGGGTGACAGAGCAAGAACTTGTCTTAAAAAAAAAAAAGAAAAGAAAAGAAAAAGGGGGATTTACTAAGGAAATCAAATACACTCAATATTATAAATTATTAAGCAGAAATTAAAATAAATACATTTGATCTACATTAGTTAGGCTTAGTAATGTCCACACTGCAGTATAAAGAGAAAAAAGTGAATTGCAATATAATGTAGGATTTCATGTATGTCATTTCAAACAAAACAAAGACAACAAAACCCTAAAAAGACAATTGAAAGTAAGTCACAAAACCCAGAAGCCATAAGAAAATGAAACAATTTGACTAAATATAAATAAAAGCTTCTGTACAATAAAAGACAACATAAAGTTACAAGGCAAGACACAGACTTTAAGAAAAAATATTTGCTATTCATATACAAATAATATACAGAATATGTAAAGAATATCTGTAAATGACTTAGAGAGTTGGTAAAGGATATCAAGTAATTTACAGAAAAAGTATGAATAGCTAATAAATATATGCAAACATATACAATCTCACTAGTAAGTGGAGAAACACCAATTTAAAAAATGAAATTATTTTTCAATCAAGTTGACAAAAATTGACTACGATTGATAATATACCCTGTAGTCAAGCATGTGAGTAAATAAAAACTCTCATACACTGATGAGAATATAAATTGGCAAATCTTTTTTGAAACATAATTTTTAATCAAAATATTAATGCTTGTACCCTTTGCTCCAGTATTCTATTTCTAGGAAAATAGAGTTAAAGAAAATAAAACTAGCAAGTATGTCAAAAGATGAATATACAGGTATGTCTCTTTGAGTATTGTAGATAATAGCAAATAATTGAAACCAATATGAATGTTCCTCAGTAGAAAAGTGGCCAAATTATGGTGAACTATCCTATGGAACAATAGTGCAACTATAAGAAAAATGAGGGGGATCTATTTGTACAGATAGGCAAAGATCTCCAAGATATATTTTATGTGAAAAAGCCAGTCACAAAATAACACATAAAGGAAGATTACATTTTGTAAATGTATGTGTATGTTTACATATGTATATAAACGAATAGAAAAATTACTTACTAGAACATATGTTTTAACCTGTCAACACTTCTTTGGGAAGTTAGTGACAGTAGATGAGAGGATTGGGTTGTCAGTGAAGAGTATTATATTTAATTCTACAGACCCAAGGGCATTGTTTGGATTTTTATAACAATATGATAGATGTGTTTCTTTAATTTTTATTATTTTTACCCAGGAAGAGACAGTCTCCAGCATGTGCTGAAAGTGCTCTCTCTTCCATGTTTTTTTTTTTTTTTATTTTTTTTTTTGGGACGGAGTCTCACTCTGTCACCCAGGCTGGAGTGCAGTGGCACAGTCTCGGCTCACTGCAACCTCCGCCTCCTGGATTGAAACTATTCTCCTGCCTCAGTCTCCCGAGTAGCTGGGACTACAGGCGCGTGCCACCACGCCCAGCTAATTTTTTGGTATTTTTAGTAGAGACAGGGTTTCACTATGTTGGCCAGGCTTGTCTTGAACTCCTGACCTTGTCATCTGCCCACCTCATCCTCCCAAAGTGCTGGGATTACAGGTGTGAGCCACTGCGCCCGGCCCTCTTCCATGCTTCTTACGTAATTTATTAAAACATATTTTAGTTTGTTGACTTGCTTACAAAAAGGTGTTTTAAACCTCTCTACAATTCTACATAGAGATAATTGTCATTCACTGTGTTAAAACAGAAATAAAGACAGAGAAATACGTATATTCAAGGATGCCAATAGGATGTTAATATCTAAAATTAGATTTTGATAATTATTGGAAAACTCTGTGAATATATTAAAATACACTGAATTATATGCTCTAAATAGATACATTTTATACTATATGAATTATATTTTAATGAAGCAGTTAAAAATCAATGGTTTGATGTTTTAGTATTTAGTGACAAATGACTTTAAGATGTAAGCAATAATTTCCAGTATATTTAAAAGATATTTACAATGGATATTTCTAGTTCACCCCCATCAACTATTAGAAAATATTTTTATTTTTTAAATCCTTGAAGTAACTGAGTGAAGGTCACTCCACAGGAGAAGTCACTGTTGTGTAGATGAGGAGGTTACTAGGTGAGGCAGAGTTGGAAGAGGCATTCTTTTCAAATGGAAATCTCTGGAAACTTCAGAAGGCAAGTATGAGGTAGGGCAATTTGCCTGGTGTATTAGTCTATTCTCACACTGCTAATAAAGACATACCCAAGACAGGGTAATTTATACAGGAAAGAGGTTTAGTGAACCCACAGTTCAGCATGGCTGAGGAGGCCTCAGGAAACTTACAATCATGGTGGAACAACACATCCTTCTTCACAAGGCGGCAAAAGAAAGAAATGCAAAGTGAAGCGGGGGGAAGCCCCTTCTAAAACCATCAGATCTCATGAGAACTCACTATCACAGCAGCAGCAGCATGGGGATAACTGCCCTCACAATTCAATTACCTCCCACCAGATCCTTCCCACAACGCGTGGAGATTATGGGAACTACAGTCCATGATGAGAGTTGGATGAGGACACAGCCAAACCATATCACTTGGTCATTTTCATTTTCAGGCTTCACATATAAGTGAGATCCTATAGCATTTGTCTTTCTGTGTCTGGCTTATTTCACTTAGCATAATGTTCTGCAGGTTCATCCACATTGTTACAAGTGGCAGGATTTCCTTCGTTTTTATGGCTGAATAGTATTCTATTATGTATATATATAACATTCTCATCATTCATCCATCACAGCACACTTAAATTGTTTCTGTATCTTAGCTATTGTGAATAGTGCTGCAGTGAAAAGTTGAACTCATCGAAGCAGAGAGTAGATGATGGTTGCCTGGGGTGAAGAGGTAGGTAACTGGGGAGGTATTAGTCAAAGAGTACAAACCTTCACTCATAAGATGAATATATTCTGAGGGTGCAAAGGACAGCATGGTGACTATAGCTAATAATACTGTATTGTGTGCTTGAAATTTACTAAGAGTCTCTCAGTTGTTCTTACCACACACACAGAAAAGGTAAACATGTGAGGTGATAGATGTGTTAACTTGATTGTGGTTATTGTTTCAGAAGGTATACATATATCAAATCATCACATCGTACATCCTAAATATAAACTATTTTCATTTGTTTACTGTACCTCAATAAAGCCGGAAAAATAAAATTTAGACCTGTGTGTCTTGTTTACACACGTAGAGGTCACTTCACAGTTTTATATCAACTCTTAGTGACACAAAGGAACAACAAAAGCAAAATATCAAGTCTGTAGTCATCTCATTGGATAAAATTACCAACTGATGATTTTTTTTTTTGCCACTCAACATACTATAAAATGAAAATCACTCAAATTATCCTTTGGTTCATTATTAAGAATTATTCATTATTCTAATGGCTCAGATACAGTTCAGGCATAGTAGCCATAAATAAAGACCACCACAGCCAGGAGGAGGATGGCGTTGATGTTCACTATTGTCCTCCACAAGGGCCTCTCAGATGTGTCTGTGAGCTTCTTTCTCAAGGCTTCCTCTTCCTCCTTGGTTAGCTTGGGTCCCTTCTGCAAACCGCAGAACAAGTCATAAGCTTTCTTGAGGCATCCACGTGATTGCTCAGGATAATCTGGAAAAAAGATAAGCAAATGGTTGCAGAAGATCTAGATCACAAAAGAACTAGAAATCCTTGTCAGTGTAGTACCTATGACGGTAAAAAATGATCACAATCACCTGGGACTGTTAAGAGGAATCCCTGAGAAAACGTAGATAAGTTTAATCATATAAAAACAGGCAACTTTTGCATGGCATAAAGTTCAATAAACAAAGTAAAAACAAATGACAAAATGGGGGAAACATTTGCATATTCTATTACAAAGGGTTTAATATCTTTAATATATAATGGGTTTCTAAAAGTCGGTAAGAAAAGGCTATCAACAGCTCATGTCAGCATATTAGAGAGATGAATAAACAGTTGAAAGAAAAAAGACACATGGTTCTCAAGCTCACTCAAAAAAGAGAAATTTAAACTAAACCTATACCACTTTCTTATCTATCAGTGGGAAAAATTCCGAGGTTTCACAACATACTATGCTGGTGAGTTTGCGTGGAAATTAATAAGGGAATTAGTAGCATATTGCAAAATCATATAGGCATGAACCCTTTGACCCAACAACTAAACTCCACAAAATCTATCCCCAACTTATACTGGCAAAAATACAAAAAGACTCATATATATGGCTATCTGTTGCAGCACTAGAAAATTTAATACTTCTAAACTCGAATGTTTATAAAAATCATAAAGTAAGATTATACTTAAAAAATAAATGGTAATGAAAATTATACAAATTAAAAGCTGTGAGATTTAAAACAGTATTGCTTTGAGGAAAATTTATATGGCCTTAGTTATTTATATAGAAAAGAACAATCAAAGAAAAATCAAAAGAAAAATCAAATTTCCACAGGAAATGAATGAGTTAATATCCAACTTAGTAAAAAAAAAAAAAAAAAAAAGAGAGAATAAACCCAAATAATGTAAATGGAAGGGAATACAAATAAAAACAGGAAGGATGAAATAGAAAAGAAGGAAAATAATAGAAATGACAAAGCCAGACGTTAGTTCTTTGAGAAAAGTAAACTAGACAAATCTTTAGTAAGATTAAGAAAAAAGATAAATCACAAAATATACTAGAGATTGAAAGGGTAACACAACTATAGAGGCAACATAGATGGATAAGTAGACACTATGAATAACTTTATGCCAATATATTTAAAATGTGCACTAAATGGACACAATCCTAGAAATACATAATTTTCCAAAAGTGATTAATGATGAAATGGAAACTCTAAATCGTTCCATAGCCATTATATAAATTTGATCAGTAATTAAGATGTGCAACACACACACACACACACACAGAGCCCTTATGGTATTATTGGCAAAATACCAAAATTCAATGGCAACATTATTTCAATCTTATTGAAATATTTTAATAAAATGGAAAAATGGGCTAATTTCTGATTCATTCTATGATAACTCTATAATCTTAATACAAAAACCAAAAACTTAGTACAAAACCAGAAAATGATAGGCCAGTCATACTCAGGAACACTGATATAAAAAATCAAAAGGAACAGAAAGCATTGACTCTTCCTTCACTTTGAAGAAACCAAACCAAAACAGACAAAGCAATTATTGTCCAGTTTAAGACAACATATTGTGAAGTGCTAAACCTTATCTGAGGTTTAAAAAATATTAGGTAAACAAAGAGCCACAGGGATGACTTGATGGAGAAATTTTCATGAAGGAAGTGAGATTAGAACTTAGTTTTAAAGAATAAGCATTTTTTCTCTTAGACAGGAGGTAGAAATATTTTAGGGAGCTTGGCACTTGTGGGGAAAAGTCAGAAAAGCTGTCTGCCTGGAATAGAGGGTATGTTAGAGAAAATACTGAGAAATAAAGTTGGAGAGAAGGTGGGGCTAGATGCTTATTTGCAGTCAATCAAGATTGAACACTCACTATGTAACTAGGAACAGGCGAGTCTGTAACTGATTGTCTGAGATCTCAGTAACTACGGATGGATGATGGGTGGACAAACCAATGGACAGGCAGATGAATAGACGGATTTAATAATATTGCCTTGATTTTTGGAAAGGGAAAAATTTAAAGTTTCAGTTTATCATAAATCTAACAGCCTTTTCAGAAGCTGGATTTAATGACATTAAAAGAAAACCATTAAAAAAGCCTGTGCACAGAGTTCCTACATGAAAACCAAATGTAAATCAAATATTACCTTCTTCAACACCATCATCTGTTTCTTCCTGACTTTTCTCTTCTGCATCTATATCGATTCGCTCCTCTGTACTGTTCCGAAGAACCCAGCACAGGCGGTACAGCTGAACAGGGACCATACGAAAATACATTAGTAATAGGCAAATGTTTGCAATAACATAATACAACGGTACCTTTGTTTATTGTCTGGTTTTTTAAAAAGTCAAACCACACAGGAGAATATAGATTGCAAAGAAAAGGCCTCCTACCACAGTCACTCACCAAAACACACTAATCATTTAAAAAATTTTTTTCTGTTTTTAATTCTTCTGGTTGCTATTCAGAACCTCAAATGATATACTTAAAAATACCTACTTCTGAATTTGTAATTTCAGCAAAGTTGAAGATTTAGCTAACCTACACTATACGCCAGTTTCACTCATTGTCCTTAACATCCAACAGTTATTAGCCACATCATTATTTCATCATTATTTCATTCAGTTTATCTAGTCTTTGCTTTTATAACTTTCAAACTATCTTCTTAAATTCATTTCTGGATTCATCACATTTGGCTGGTATCTATGTGCTATTCTTGAATTCCAGTTGCAATTAGTACGCTTACACACCCCTTTTCCTAACCCACCTCCAAACTGCTGTCAGCTATACCATCATTTTAAACTATTATGCTTTATATAATTTTTATTATTTTCTGTAAATATATTAAGATTTCCATAGTTAGTCTGTATGTTGATTTAAGCATTTGAAAATAAATAGAATTGATGCTGTATGTACCGATTGGACACAAGAAGTAAATATCAGCCCTGGGTCATTCTAAGGAAATTGCTCTAAGTATCAATAGCTTTTTTCTGTTTGTTTCTTTTTAATAAGATGGAGTTTCTATCTTGTTGCCCAACTGGAGTGCAATGGTGCAATCTTGGCTCACTGCAACCTCCGCCTCCTGGGCTCAAGCAATTCTCCTGCCCCAGCCTCCCAAGTAGCTGGGATTACTAAAGGTGGACTGCCAGCATGCCTGGCTTATCTTTGTATTTTTAGTAGAGATGGGGTTTCACTATGTTTTTGACCAGGCTGGTCTCCAACTCCTGACCTCAGATGATCCAACCACCTTGGCCTCCCAAAGTGCTGGGATGACAGGCGTGAGCCACTGTGCCCGGCCTATCAATGGGTTTTAAACCTTTATAATCGATCATATTCTAAGTTATGCCTCATTTTAATTTGGCTCATGACTTTCTTGTACAAATTTACTAGAATTTGTAATTGGTTTTATTTGTTCTTGACATATGCCTTCACCTTCTCAATAAGATTCCTAATCATATCTTCATAAGCTCTTATTCACAGGATTTCTTGTACTAGATCCACTTTCTTTGTTAAAAACTCTCTTCTTGGGAGTCCTTCAACTTCTTTTTAACTTGCATAGCGTAATTACTAGTTTTGCTGAAAGACTATCATCCTGGGACATCTCATTTTTGCACTGTTAGGCTAGATTCACAACAGTTTTCATGGCTTTCTCTGAAATAACCATGATATTTATCAAGTCTATTTTGAAAGTTAAACCTTGCAGCATATTAATGAAACAGAAACATAAATCAGAAAAATGATCTCACTTGGTCCTTCAGACAATATTTTTTTCCTAAAAATTTTTTCCTAAAAAAATTTTTCCTAAAAAAAAAAATTGGTTATTTCTATCAGCAAGTAAGAATTTAACATATATATTTATTGAAAAACTGTGTTTTCTAGTGTTCTTTCATCTAACTCAATATTCAGCATAAATATTTAGTTAGGAATTTCAGTGACATGTCCTTGGTAAAACATTTTGAACTGTGCTTATTTCAGGTTTTCCATCCACACATAATCTACTGGCCGCTTCTCAGGAAAATACATAAAGAAGCATTGCTTCAAAAATAATGAGTGATACATTCAAAATATATAAAAGCTACACATATTTAGTCATAAATTCAAACAATTCAAACAATATTAGTATATAAGCAGTATTTATATTTTAAAAACAATTAATTAATATTTGCCAGGCCCCTATAGTGTCTCCCCACTCCCTGAAATGCCTCTTGTTGAAAATCTTAGGTGGATATGCTCTAAGATTTTTTTTTGTATACTTAGACAAACATCTATATGCCTACATGTGTTTTATTTCAGAAAGTGCTATTATACATTATATTATTCTGCACATATTTTTCCACTTAATCATATTATGAACATTTTTTTCAAAGCAAATAATGGAGCTCCCTCGTGTTTCTAAACAGCTGTATAACGTTCAATGCACTGTGTTTGTGTGCTCATTCCTTTTATGATGAAATCTGGATTTTCTCCCAGCTACTTCCTATTTGAAAACTTTTGCAGAGAAAATCCTTATACACATTTTTCCTACTTGAACAAGTATTTATACACAATAAATTCCTAAAACTGGGATTGCTGATTCATACGTATTCGTAAGTATTTATCCATAAATACTACCCAATTGCTCTACTATCAATTATAAAATCTATGTACTTTCCAACAGTTTTGGACTGTGAGAATTTTCCCACAATGCTAATATTAACCACTAACATTAAATATTATTCATATTAAACATTTTTGCTAAATTGAAAGGCAAAAATGCATCTCATTATTCTATTCTTTCTTTTCCTGCCCCCTGGTACCTTTTACTTTCCCCTCATCTCTGTGCCAGTCAGTGTTCGTGTGGTATATGAAATCCTGTTGGCCCAAACAGGCACAGCCCAGATGACAGCCCTGCTGTGAAATCTTTCCCAGTGTCTTTGGAAACACCAATTATTCTCTTCCTGGTGTCCTATGACAATGCTGTAGATTGACTTACCAACTGTGAAATTTACAAGATATAATGTCCATTTTCTAATCCCTTACTTTTTAATTCACTGCGATTTGCATAAACTAAGTGCAAACTTTTCTTTATTTCAATGACTGAATGAAAATCTTAGGGTTCTTCTAGCTCTAGAGGTACAGTAAATACATTTCCTGGAACTCATACACTAAAAGGTAAATAACTCTTATTTTAAAATTAGCATATATCCATTACTCATCACTCACATGTACATCAGGAATGGGTTTTGTTAAGAGGGAAATTCCCAGGACGACCAGCATGGACCCAAAAAAGAGAATGATGGAAAAGTAGAGATAGTGCACTCCACAGATAATCTTGGGACAGTTACTGGGAGCCAAGCAACTCGGTGTTCCATAAACAAACTCTGTTATCATACGAATGAGGCCCATCGCAAGTCCGACCATTAGACCCCAGAATGCTCCCTGCAAAAGAAGCAAGAAGAAAATCAGAATGTTTAGAAAATATGAGAAGCTTATTCAAGTAAGTCATAATTATAATCCTGCCTGCTTTCTCAGTTAAGGACCCACAAATGGCTAACCTTGGGCACAAGGTTACCGAAGTAGAGAAAATTGCAAATACCCGTGCTTGTTAGTTGGATGCTGCTTTCCATGGTCCTGAACTGTATATACCACTGCACCGTTGTTGATTCTCCAATACTAGGACACTACTGTCTACACTGACCCAAGCTGAAGTTTTCCTTGACTTTTGTTTCACAGTTAGATCAAAACACTTGTGATTTATTTGATAAAATAAGCAGAAGTATCAATTATGTTACACAATTTCCAGAGCTGGTATTAGGTAGTTTTGACAGTTCTGTGAAGCTCTTGATAATTTACTTCTGTGAGGAGTTGATGGGGATGGAAACATGTGTCTGTTCCTCTGCTCAAGATGTTATGCTTTAGAAAAACAGTATTGCATGGAGACTAATGGTATGAGCTTTGGATGGAAGAAGATCTAAGCCTGAATACCAAGATCCCACTTACTAATACTAAGTAACACGTGGAAAGCACATAGATACTAACCCCTCTGCGCCTGTTCCTCATCTGAAAATCATAATAGTAAGGCTAGTACTAAGGAAACATGTAAAGATTAAGGGTACATGATGCCCAATAATCAATTACTTACATATATCAAAATAGCAATGAACACATTTTGAATTCTTACTAGTGTGGTAGGTTTTCTTCTAAGAATTTCACATATTTTATCTCACTTAATCCTCACAACAATCCCATAGGATAGGTGCTATCATTATCTTCATTTTAAAGAGACTCAAGTAATTTGCTTAGGATCACAATACGATTAGGTGGTATAGCCATGATTGGGCCCTGGCAGTCTGCCTCCCAAACATGTTCCTCAACTCTGCACCGTGTATGTATGTAATACTTTGTAATAAACACATAAAGACTGTACTATGAATGTGTGCTATATTTTTATACTTTAGTAAGGATCAGGAATTGTGGCTGACCTCAACTAAAATTAAGATGGGCCATGACTTGCGTAAATAGGGTAGAAAGAATGTATTTTGATACCCCAGTGAAATAAACAATTTTTTCTCACTCCAGCAGGGAAATTTTTTTCCAGTTTTCATTTACCTGTTCATTGACTCTTTTACAGAAGATGGCAAGCACATAGACAGCTGCAATTGGAGGTCCAAGGTAGCTAGAAATTGATTCTGTGTAATGGATTAGCTGTCCATTTTGAGACACTTGTACCAATGGGACCCACACAATGCTCACAACAGTTAATAGAAGAACAAATATCCTGAGAAGAAAACAACATAATTTAAACATTAAACAAAAGCACTATAGGTACTTCCACTGTGCTTTAGTTCTAGAGTTCATTCTTGTTGCCATTCATTGATTTTCCAAACAAAATCAAGCTCCTTGACCATACATAGACCCATGCTGTGCTTAATGGTGATCTTTTAGTAAAATGCCATAAAACAATTGCCTGTCTATAATCAATCATAATAGCTTCATCTATGAGATTAAATATCTATTCATAAAAAGTTAAAATATCAGCGATTAATAACTCCAACACACTATATGTAGTATATCAATTGGAAATAAGTACCACACTATTTCTATTAACCAGCAATTATTTGTACAATAAAGAAAGCAGACTTCCATTTTTTGTTCTTTTCCTAGCTTGCAGGGAACAAAGTTGATTTGCATAGGTTAGAATGGAAACAGCCTCCATCTCAGAATGTTGAGTAAATCGGCAAGAAATGCTAACTTGTGCATTTTACTACTTGAGTACTTCAGCAGATAAAAAGCGTGATAAAGGCTCCTGTTGTCCAGGGAGCATGACTTCTTCACCTTTCCAAACTCCAGCGTTGTCTGTGCTTGTTGTGTGAGTAAATGAACCAACATAATTTACTAGAATGTGCATAAAAGGCCATTCATCTCTCTTTGCTCACATGAAATAGAGAAGCAGTTGTGGGGTGGAGGAAGGAACAAGTATTTGGGCATTTAAACATTTAAAGGAGACAAATGTCTCATTTAAATGTTACAAAATCACTGCATCCTTGCAACAACTAAATGTGATAAACTATGGGAAGTCTTAGCATAATGCCTAAACCACAGTAAGGATTCAATAAATTACACTTACTGTTGGTATTTATTTTTTATCACCATTGGAAGGCAAATCACGTGCTTTCCCAACTCATTCAGTTACAGTTTCCTATCACATGTAGAATAAAATCCTGTCTTGTTATGACTTCAATGGCCCTGCATGACCTCGCCTCCAGGCACCTTTCTGACCTTGCTCTTCACTCTCCCACTGGCTTCTCATGGACGAAACTCACTCCTGGTTGTTCTCAAACATACCACATACGTGACTGTAGGAGGAAAGCAGCCCTCATTGTTCCTTCCCCGAGAGCACCATGGGGTTCACTCCCACACTTCCTGCAGGCTCTGCTCAGACACCACCCCCTCAGAGAGGACTCTCTGAGCACCTGGATGAGGTTGCTTCCATCCTTTCTTCCTGCTTTGTCTTTCTAGCGCCTCTGGTCACCTGAGGTAGCACACCTTTATTATCTATCTTCCTGACAAAGGCATACATTCCATGAGGCAGGAATTTTAAAAGCATATGTGTTTTTTTCTTATTTGTGTTTTGTGAGATAGTAGGCATTTGATAACACAGAGAGAGAGGGGAAAAGAACAAGTCATTGTTTTATCATTGAGACTTAAGGAGGATGTGTGTCCAAGATCATATACCTATTAGTGGGACGACTGCATCTTGGGCCTCCTGAACACCAACCAGTACTTTCTCTACTACAGGTATGCTCCTGCCTTCCTGTACTCCCTCTCCTACAGCATTTGTCCAGAGTCAAGCTCTGGGCCAAGTGAGACCTTTGGGTTTTTCCCCAAGTGTTTAATTTGCTAAAGTTATTGTTACTGTCAACAACAAAGGACAGTCTTTTAAATAGTTGGTCAGTTTCTCTTGATACCAATTTCTTTGAAAAGACTAGACAAATTCTGATATCTGACTACAGCGGAACATCACAGAGAAAGAAAATGATTATACTACAACTACACATAGCAACACGGTTGAATGTTGCAAACATAACATGAGCAAAATAAGCCATATTTCAGCAGGTGGCAGTGGCTCACGCCTGTAATCCCAGGACTTTGGGAGGCCGAGGTGGGCAGATCACGAGGTCAAGAGATCAAGACCATCTGGCCAACATGGTGAAACTCCGTCTCTACTAAAAGTACAAAAATTAGCCTGGCATGGTGGTGGGTGCCTGTAGTCCCAGCTACTCAGGAGGCCGAGGCAGGAGAATCGCTTGAACTTGGGAGGCAGAGTTGCAGTGAGCCAAGATCGTGCCACTGCACTCCAGCTTGGTGACAGAGCAAGACTCTGTCTTAAAAAAAAAAACATCGTATTTCAAGGGATACAAATGCAATTATTCTACTTATAATAGCATGAAGTTGGAAAAGACTAAGCTATAGCGTCACAAGTCACAGTGGTTAGCTTTGGAATGATGTAGACCAAGACGAACTTCTGGGTGCTGGCAATTTCCATGTCTTGACTTGATCGATGGTTACATGGTCCTCATTTTGTGACGCATCTCTGAGCTGTGCATCCATGTTTTAACTGTTTTCTTTATGTGTGCTGTACTTTGATTTTTAAAACATTTTACAAAATGCTACGACAGGCCAGGGGCAGTGGCTCACACCTGTAATCCCAGCACTTTGGGAGGCCGAGGAGAATGGATCACCCAAGGTCAGTATTTGGGACCAGCCTGGCCAACACTGTGAATCCCTATCTCTACTAAAATACAACAAATTAGCTGGGCATGGTGGCGGGCACCTGTAATCCCAGTTACTCAGGAGGCTGAGGCAGGAGAATCGCTTGAACCTGGGAGGCAGCAGTTGCAGTGAGTTGGGAGTGTGCCATTGCACTCCAGCCTGGGCAAAAAGAGTGAAACTCTGTCAAAAAAAAAAGCCATGATAATATAGGGTCTTCTCGAAAATTGTGAAGGGGAAGAAGGACATTCTGGTATCCATTTTTTCCTCATTTCCTTCCATCTCACTCCCACTATCTTCAAGGCCCCCAGGCTGCTCAGGGTCCCCTGGGTTGACTTAAGTCTCCAAGCATCCTCTTGGAATTAGTCTCTTCCCTGCTCCTTTGTAACACAGCCCAATCATTCATGAATATGACTGATAAAGTCCTCTGTGTTCATGTGTAGAAGACGTAATCTGTTACCTCCATGTGATATACACAGAAACTGCTAGAGACAATGCATTCACCTATCAGAGTAGGTGGGAATTTTACACCCCATTAAAATACTAGTGGAGTTTTATGAAGATGTGGATAGGGGGGTGATGTGAGGAGGGGAAGAAATAAGAGCCATTCAGAAGCATTTGAAAGACCGAAAAAGTGATTATTTCATTTAAAGGTATGGTTCAAATTTTTGTATCTGGAAAGTGATCACTTGAATTCGATGTACTCCAATGTCTCGTCCCCGTATCCAGATGCTAGGATTACTTTCACCAAAGTCAAAGGCAAGGGAACTCTAGTTCACTTCTACATCTGCACTTCTCCAGAGGATTCTAGGTGGGAACTCACCGTCCAGCTATCAGGATCTCTTTCTCCGACGCTTGCTTTCGCACCTTGGTGTAGAGGTCAATAGCGAAAAGGGTGCTGGCGCTGTTGAAGATGGAGGTCAGGGAGCTTATGAGAGAGGCCAGCATGACCGAAAGCATCAAGCCTCGCAGTCCTGGAGCCGGGAGAGGGTACAAGCACTGGTTAGTGGCTGGACAGCGCCTTGCTAAACCAGAGAGCGTTGAAAGGTAAAAGCACCATCCGGAACATTGGTTAACTGATGTCTTTATCAATACACATCAGCATGTGGAGTTTCCTGCATATTTTCCTGGTCACCTGAGAATAATCCAGTATAAATAAGTCAGGCACAGAAAGACAAAACATCACATGTTCTCACTTACTTGTATCATCTAAAAATCAAAAACAATTGAACTCATGGATATAGAGAGCAGAAGGATGGTTACCAGAGGCTGGGAAGGGTAGTGGGGGACTAGGGGTGGTGGCGGGGATGGTTAATGGGTACAAAAAAGAGAGAAAGAATGAATAAGACCTACTGTTTGATAGCAAAGCAGGGTAACCATAATCAGTAATAAGTTAATTGTACATTTTAAAATAACTTAAAGAGTGTAATTGAATTGTTTGTAACTCAAAAAATAAATGCTTGAGGGGACAGATTAAAGCAAAAAGAATTTTAGTCCTAAACATGAACTTAGAGATCATCTACTGGAACCTAGTTTTAGAAGAGAGGAAACAACATCACACCATCTTTCTTTGGGTAGGGGCTGTTGGCTTCCTGAAGACTTAAGAGAACTGGAGAGGAAGAAGTCCAGTAGGCGGTTCTGCTAAACAAGTCTTTGGAGGGGCAAAGCCAAGAGTTTTGAGCCATGATGGGAACTTCATCCTCCAGTTCCCTCTGCCCATTAATAATGGCCCTAAGCCTCCTAGGACAGAGTGTGTGTGGATGGGGAGTATGTGGTGTCATGATTGTGGGCCCTGGTCCCTTCCTCCCTCCTGTGTGTCAGGGTGGAGGAAGGTGGAAGAAGTGTAGCCAACTCTTGATGGGGTACGGGATCACCTGGTCAAGTCCTGAGCTCTGTACCCTGCTCCATTTCTGTTCACCACAGCAATGATCACCTTCTGGCATCCTAATAATTTATGTATTTCCTATGTGGTTTATTTTCTATCTCACACTACTAGATTTTGAGTTCCAAGAGGTAGGGGACTTTGTGCCTATTTCACTGATGTTTTGTTAGCACCAAAGCAGTGTCTGGCACTCAGTAGGCACTCAATAAATAGTTGCAGATTAAATAGATTGAGATCTATTATTTGGTTATCACTAGCCCCAAAAATGCCCTCCAAAAAGAAGGATAAATAGTTTATTCTATTTGGTTTATTTGGTTATCACTAGCCCCCAAAAAGCAGAAAAAATAGTTTACCTCTAGGTCTCGTGTTTACAAGTTTATGACTATGCAACTCTTTTATTGACAAATGGATCATTTAATTTGTTCTTGGCTGCCTCAGAAAACAGTCTTGAATCTGAAGGAGTAAGAATTCTTGTAACAGTAGTTGTACCCGGTTCATCTCTGAAATGTTCAGGCCTAGCACAGAGCTGGTAGCCTGTGGAAGGTGCTCAAGAAATGTCTGATGAGTTGGATTGAATTAATGGAAGGTTAAAGAATTGCACCATAACCCTTCCATGAGACCCATCTGTAAACAGGGCTCTGGGGCTGTCCCAGCAGGGACATTTTCCTACCTTGGGGCATCAGTTCCAGCACCATCGTTGGGTATGCATAGTTAGTGCAGCCAACATCAACGCCACAGTGTTTCACGCATTCAGAAGGTACCACACATGCTACCTTATCTGAGGAAGAATTCAGAAGTGAGTCCAATGAGGCCAAAATAGGCAAAACCAACAACCATTAAACAAAGAGAAAAGTTGTAAGATCATAAGGAAGGAAAGATATTTGCCTGGAAACTGAAGATTCAACTTTGAACTCCATACCACAGATCTGGCCCCTCTATTCCCAAAACACAACCCTAAGTATCTCATCCCTGTAGCCCCCTTACACTGACCAATGGGACAGGGGCTCTCTTGGGACGTGGCCTAGCAAGAGCATTTGAGCAAAGAGAGGGAGTGGACCCCATCCTCTGGGAAAACAGCAAAAAAGTCATTCTTCCAGGAACACAGAACTCAAGAGATTGACAAAAATAGCAACGGGAAGTTAGGTCCTGAGTGTAGTCACATTTAGCCTAGTATCTTTCACCTGCATCTAAGAAGAGGTGACACTTGTGATGGTCAGTTGAGTGACTGTCCCATGTGTCATGATGCCTCACCTCTGTGGCAGTTGCACAATACCTTGTTGGTTTTTTGTTTTTGCTTAAACGACATTATGACAACAGACAGGGAGGCTTGATAAAGAATCACCCAGAAAAATAACACCTCAGCACATTAGCTTCTTTTCACTACTTCCTAATCCTTTTCTATACAGAAATGTCTTTTTTGTAAAACTATGGTAGTTGTTGAGACATTATTTTTCAAGTTTCTTTTTACACTTAGCATCCTAACCTCAGCATTTTCCCAAGTTTTGAGATAGTCTTCAGTCTCCTGTTTTCATTTTTCCATAAAGGAGGTACACAGTAATTTCTTTGGCCATTTCCCACTAGTTAGATACCTACGCTTTTTTTTTTTTTTTTTTTTGAAGAGATGGGATCTCACTTTGTCACCCAAGCTGTAGCGCAATGGTGCAATCATAGTTCACTGTAGCCTTGAACTCCTGGGCTCAAGCAATCCTCCCGCCTCAGCCTCCCAAGCAGCTGAGACTATAGGAACACACCATCATGCCTAGCTACTTTATCTTATTATTTAGAGATGGGATCTTGCTGTATTGCTCAGGCTGGTCTCAAAGTCCTGGGCCTCAAGCGATTCTCCTGCCTCAGCCTCCCAAGTAGGTGAGATTATAGGCATGAATATTCTTTACCCTTATAAAGAATATTACAAAGCTGCAATAAGAAGGATGCTGGTCCCTTGATGTTCACTTAACAATATTTCAGTGAAATCAACTGATGCCCAGTTGAGAAAACATGATGTGGATTTAGTGTTATCTGATGGATTACCCCGATAAAAATGATTCCTCGATAAGTCAAGAAAGATTTGGTTATATTCTCTTCACTTTTCATAATAAAGGAAGTTGAATTCAACACTAGCAGTTACTCTCAGCTGACTCAGAAATTTACATATCCTCAAACAGCCTGATTCCAAAGCAGTGAAAACTGATTCAGTTCTCCAGTTTTCTCAGAGGGACCAAGACCTTCTCAGTCAGAGATGTCACCAAACTCAGACGGTACAGCTCACTTGACTCAAATTAACCCAATCCTACCTCATCCTGCAGTGTCGTTTTGCCATATTCTCTGGACTTCCTTAAATCTAAGCAACTCATGAAGACAGAACTCACAGACTCAAATGTCTATGAGACAGGCAGATGGTATGACAAGGATAAAGGAACAGAGCATCCAATATGCCACATTTTCCTGCCTTTGACCGCTGTGCAGGCTGTGCCCTCCACCTGGAATTCTGCTTTTACTTCCATCCAGAATGGATTTTCTCAAGGCTTTATGACATTTTAAGAACACTTCTCAGAATACAAGCATAAAGAAAAGAGAGAACATACAGATTCAGGGCTTACCTGTGTACAGGATGCGGCTGATCATCCCCGGCATCACCATGAGGAACATGGGCAGCAGCTTCAGGTAAGCACACATGATGCAAGCAGCCTTCACGTGAGACATGTCCTTGCCACTCAGGCAGCGCTGCACGATGACCTGCCGGGAGAACGTGACACACTCATGAAACAACCAGGGGATGATTTCCAAGGCAGTGAGTGTCTCTTTCCAGAGTTTAATGTTGCAAAAAGAAATGATGTGGACCAGTACACCAAAGAGCTATCTGCACTCCTATGTTCACTGCAGCACTATTCACAATAGCCAGCATGTGGAATCAGCCTGAGTGTCCATCAGCGGATGAATGGATTAGGAAAATGTGCATAATACACAATGCAAAACCATTCAGCCGCACACAACAATGAAGCCCTGTCATTTGCAGCAACACGGATGGAACTGGAGGTCATTACGCTAAGTGAAATAAGCCAGGCACAGAAAGACAAATATCACACATTCCCCACTCATTCTCACTTCCTGAGGCCTAGCTCAGGAAGATACTGAAGGCTTGGATTTGCCCCGAAAGACGGAATAAACGAAGAAAGAAGACAACTGGCGGTACTGGAAAAAGGAGAAATAACCTGAGTAGGGCAAAAATGAATTCCCAAAGATGACAGTGAAGGGGTCATTGGATAAGTTAGTTGGGCACCAGAGGGAGTGCTGCCAGACTGTGAGAGGGCAAAAGACTCTAGGAGAACCTTTCATTCAATGAGTAATAATTAGCAAGAAAATTCAAAATGAAAAATTAAGAATTGGCCAGGTGTGGTGGCTCACACCTGTAAGTGCAGCACTTTGGGAGGCTGAGACAGAAGGATTGCTGGAGTCCAGGAGTTTGAGACATAGTGAGACCCTGTCTCTATTCAAAAAATAATGTTTTTTAAAAAAGAAAGAAAACAAGACTTAAAATTATTAATTCCAGGAACAACAACAACAAAAAAAGCTAAGGAAAAGTCAGGCAGTATAATCACATGGTTCAGCTGTGAATTACATTCGGGTAGTCACAAAAATGGTGGCACCGAATGCTGATCTCTCCAAAATTGTGATTGACAGCTATTGGGAGGATGGGGGAACAGGTGTGCTTGCATGGGGCTGGGAAGGGAAAGTTGAAAGACAGCTAAGCTCTCATCCTTCATCATAGGGAAGCCAACAATAAAATCCTAAAACTAACAGGGAGCAACACAAGCATTTATCTGAATCACTTGGGGATCAAGTTAATGAGCAGATTCCAATTCAAAGGGTCTAGATAGGGTTATAGGGTCTGAGGGCATTTATTCCTAGTGAGCTCCAAGGTGATGTCCATGTTGATGGCTCACAGACTGCACACTGAGCACAAGGATTTAGGGAACAGAAATAAATGCCAAAACACTTACTTAAAAGAGCTGAAAGCATTTGCCTCTGAAGGACAAGAAATAGAGTAGAAAGCAGGGTACCGTGCAGCTGTTTTTAAATAACAAGTTTTGTAGAAGTGTTTGACTCTTTAAGCTGGATGTGGTGGCTCATCCCTGTAATCCCAGCACTTTGAGACGCCAAGGTGGGCAGATCACCTGAGGTCAGGTGTTTGAGACCAGCCTGGCCAACATGGTGAAACCCCGTCTCTACTGAAAATACAAAAGTTAGCCGGGCATGGTGGTGTGCATCTGTAATCCCAGCTACTCGGGAGGCTGAGGCAGGAGAATCACCTGAACCCGGGAGGTGGAGGTTGCAGTGAGTTGAGATCATGCCACTGCACTCCAGCCTGTGTGACAGAGTGAGACTCCATCTAAAAAAACACAAAAAACAAAAACGAAGAAGTATTTGACTCTTTAAACGATGTGTGTGCAAAATGGAAACTAAATGTTTTTCTATGAGACAAGAACAACAAACACATGTACACACACAGACACACACACAGACACACACACACACACTTCACCTGATTTGTGCACCAGTACCACAAAGCTGTAATGGGCATTCCAAATATAATTCCGGGCCATGGAATGTCCCCAGTCACAGGATCTCGGAAGATGTGGAAGGAGTCCTCCCGAGGTGTGTAGCAGCTGGCACTGATTGTCAAGTTGTCCCCCTCGACTACGGACGGGATGGCATTCATGTACTTCTCGGTAAAGCTCTCGTAACCTCCAACTTCGTTAAATGCTAAAAAGGCATCAGAGTAAAACGAGATGTCTTACTGAAATCTAAGACATTCAATGTTTATGATGACTACTTTTTGGTGGAGGTACACAATCACCTCCCATCAGCCCAGTCCAATCCTCAGTCACCCTCTCCCAGGTCTATGTCTTTCTGGTACCTCCACTGGCACTGGCTATGCTACCAGATTGACTTTCACGAAGTACAGAAAGCAAATAACTCTGACTTGTCTTCCTATATTGCTCTTTGAAATTTTGAGTTAGTGTCTCTTTTAAGGTAAAAACGAAGCTGTTATCCAACAGGCCGGCACTGATATCTCAGAACCATTTAGAGCATAAGCAAACTGGAAGGTGAACTAACAAAGTGAGCCCCATGAAATTATCCATCAGAAAGCCCCAGCTCCTCTGAAAAGATCAGGAGGCAAAGGCCTCTCTTCTTGACCCAGAGCTTGGCTCTTTTGATCTTACTTGCAATCTGGTTTTCTGGTGCAACACTATATTTTGCCTGTTACAATAAAAAAAATTGGAAAGATAAGAAGCAGAAATTGGGGGTGGCAGGTTAGATGTGACAAGGGAAAATGATGAGACTCAGCCTGTTCGGGTCTGGAAAGGCCAGTCAGGTGCAGAAGAGAATTGTGGTTGCTCTTAAAAAGCTGAGCCCAGGCATCTGGGGTAGCTTAGTATAGCTTTAAATGATGAAAAATTCATCAGAGTATTATACAATTGTAGGGTTGAGTTAACATTAATCTACTTCATTATTTAGCTGAAGGACTACTATGTGCCAAACACTGTGCTAGGATCATGTACAAAATAAATGTGCAAGGCAGGAACTTAGCCGAGTGGAGGATACAGACAATATGAGGAAGTTGCTTTGATTAGATAAATATGGATTGTAACAAAAATACATAGGAGACTCTAAGAGATGAGAGTCCCCCTCTTCATCCTAAAGATGGCAGAATTGAGGTTTAGAGACCTAATGCCAGGGAGTGCATCACTGAGGCCAGAAACCAAGGCACCATGAACAAGAACAGCACAGAAGTTCTGGATAACTGAATAGAAAGTACACAAAGAATTGGTGCTAACGACTAGCCTCTGGAGTGGCACTGTGCAACAGAAACATTCTGCAGTGATAGAACTGTCCTGTATCCATGCCGTCCAGTATGGCTAGTTTTCCTATGCAAAGATAAATACCATAATAAGAGAAAACAAATATTGGCAAGCTGTAAATTAGGTCAATATTGCTTGATGGCAATGAACTGAATGATACTAATAAGTGAGCATTATTAAGAAAACTCCAACCTGTATTTGTGTATTGTCACAATGCAATAGATTTCCATCCAAAATAGTCATAATGAGGTTACGGATGTTTTGGATGAAAATCCACTACAATACATTGTTTGAGTACACAAACATAGGTTGTGTATTCTATGTCTGTGTATGATTCAGTTGAACTAATATTCAGTTCTCAAATTTTTTCCTACTATTTAATCCTTCATTTCATAAAAATTCTATGTAAATGAAAGGTTTCTAGGCTTTGAATCTAATGTACAAATACTTCTGTAAAATTATCAACCCACTGCTACTGATTTTGTCTGTCCTTCACACAAAGAAATTAAGGTTAAATGAGATAACTTACCTAAGCAATAATTTTTTTTTTTTTTTGAGACGGAGTCTCGCTCTGTCGCCCAGGCTGGAGTGCAGTGGCCGGATCTCAGCTCACTGCAGGCTCTGCCTCCTGGGTTTATGCCATTCTCCTGCCTCAGCCTCCCGAGTAGCTGGGACTACAGGTGCCCGCCACCTCGCCCGGCTAGTTTTTCGTATTTTTTAGTACAGATGGGGTTTCACCGTGTTAGCCAGGATGGTCTCGATCTCCTGACCTCGTGATCCGCCTGTCTCGGCCTCCCAAAGTGCTGGGATTACAGGCTTGAGCCACCGTGCCCGGCCAGCAATAATTTTTAAAAGAAAGTAATGTTCTTTTCCCCACCATCCATTTCCTTATGCTGAGATAATAAAGCAAGAAAGAAGTCAGGCAGATATTTCAGTGATGGGGATTATATAAATGACGGGAAAGTGTGACGAGATGAAACTGGAAGGCATCCCAATAAGGAGCAGACAGACTGAACAGAAACAAGCCCCGTCACTTCCGGCCCCTGGGCACTGCACGCAGGGTCATCACTTACCAAACCCCATGAGAATAAAAGAGCCAATCAGCATGATGATGGTCTGGAGGGTGTCTGTGTAAATCACTGAGGCCAACCCCCCTGGTGAGAGAAAGAAAAGAACCAGGGCATTTTATCCATGTGTCCCCATGTATTTGCCTTCACCACTGGGTTCTCCTCCACCCAGAACCCTGGAAATGACCCAGTAGAAGACATCAAAAGCTCCTAGGTGAGCCACAAGCTTGTCCTGACATCATAATCTCCTCAGCACTGGTTCTCCTACTTCCCTTGCTTTGCCCTGATTCTAAGTTTCTATGAATTACAGTGAAGTTTCATCTTTGTGTGAGTTTTTGAATATTAAGCAGGGGAAAAGGCAGCACTTTAATACCATGAAAGTTTCTCTTAACAATCCCTCAATTTACAGCCATTCAGCACAGTGCACCTGCTCTAAAATATCTAGCGAAACCACTTTTGCTCTAGTGCTGGAACGTATTATTGTTTCATTAATTCAGTACCAGATATAGTTACCGTGTTTTGTGTTTTGCTGTAGTGTTGAACAACAAAAAATCCCAAACCCAGCTTATTTTTCAAGTCTAGACTAACTAAGCTGTCAGTCTAGTTAGTCACCAGCACCTGCAACAAGATATTCCCTTTATGAGAGTGTCATGAGAAAATAAGATGAATCCTGAACACAGAATACTCATGCCCTTATCGCTCCCTTATTCGGAAACACATGCTCTGTGGAAGTGGTCTGTACCAAAATAGAGACACTTATGCCAAACCCTAACAAAATGGGGCTGGGAGGTCACGCAGGTAGGGCCCTCATACACCTATGCCGGTAACAGGAACTGTTGGAAGACATTATTATGAAGACTGTCTCCTAGCAACAGCCAGTACCACCAATGAACAAACACCAGCGCCTGCAAGAAGCAGGTGAAACAATCATCTTTGTTTCAGAACAGCTTACGTGGGCTCTCCCTCTCTGTCTTTAAAAGCCTCCCCTTTGCCCCAACCCCCTTGGAAGTCCTATGGTCTGCCACAGGACATGTATCCTGGTTTGCAATCCCTCACTGTTCCCCAAAGAAACTCCTCATTTTGGAGAGTTGGTCTCTCTGTCGCTTATTTTAGGTTGACAGTTCAAATGCACGGAAATGGCCCCAAAACTGTTTTGACCGTTCTAGCTGGTATTTTTCCTTACGTCTTCCAACTCAGCTGGTATACTTTAATTTTTATGTTAGTATGCATGAGAAGCATATCAACATACCTGGTTCATGAGAGCCTGCTTGGACTATTGTCACACATCGTCTCCTGCCAGCAACCCACTGCTCCAGTTCTCCTCTCTCAACTGCACCATTCACGGCCAACGCCATGCCCTGGCATCCTGTGTTCATTTGAACCTCACCTTTCATTTGCTAGTCTCCTATCTGAGCTGCTATTTCCTCCCAACCGTCTGTGTGGATGATATGCTAAATTCTAAGTGCCAGTCTGGGTACCAAACACATAGCTGAACCAAATGACCCGTTTCCCACCCCATTCCCCACATAATTCCCTTCCATCAAGATGCTCACTTCTAATATCAAGGATTCTGTGTTCTATGCTCTAGTTGTGTTTCTGGTGCTGTGCTTGACTCTCATAGTGGGAAAGAAATGGTGCCTTTACCTCGGCAGCGACAAGGCTAACACTGAGAATGCTAATTGCAGGTTGGGGTGGGATCAGCAAAAGACAGTCCGAGTGAGCAAAATATACAACATACTCACCAGTGATGGTGTAAACAGCAGTCATAGCCAAGAGGATGAAGATTGCCAGGTAAAGGTCCAATCCCAAGGCCAGCTTGATGAATATAGCTCCAGCAAACATGTCTGACTAAAAAGGGAACAGTCAGGATGAGAAAGAAACATGCATTTGAGGCCACTGGTTTCTCTGCCCCAATGTCCACTCTTCTTAACCCTTCTTTTTCTGATAGACTCCTACTTATCCTTCAAGAATCCACTGGGATGGCCCCAGAGTAATACCTTCCATAAAGCCTCAAAAATGATTTTCACTGTCTTCACTCTCTCCTATATTCTCATAGAAGTTAGTTCTTTGCTCAATTGAGGTGCTTATTACATGAGGTGACATGTCCTGAGAACTTTTTCTGTGCCATGAGGCTTAGAGAGGCTGAGTAATTGCTTATAGGAAGCTCCTCAACTGTGATGGAGTATTTAGAAATATATCTTCTCCTTGAGCCCGGGAGTTTGAGGCTGCAGTGAGCGGTAATTGGATAGAAAGTATGTACCAAGCGGCCGGGCGCGGTGGCTCAAGCCTGTAATCCCAGCACTTTGGGAGACTGAGGCGGGTGGATCACGAGATCAGGAAATCGAGACCATCCTGGCTAACACGGTGAAACCCCGTCTCTACTAAAATTACAAAAAATGGGCCGGGCATGGTGGCCGGGGGCTTGTAGTCCCAGCTACTCGGGAGGCTGAGGCAGGAGAATGGCATGAACCCGGGAGGCGGAGCTTGCAGTGAGCCGAGATCGCGCCACTGCACTCCAGCCTGGGCGACAGAGCAAGACTCCGTCTCAAAAAAAAAAAAAAAAAAAAAAAAAAAAAAGAAAGAAAGAAAGAAAGAGTATGTACCAAAATAGAATACAACCAAAGAACATTGTTTCATATATATATTCCAAATATATATGTGCTACAATGATTGAAAATTGGTTTGAATTGGGGGGTCAGTTATGATTATTTTTGAAATTGAGGGGAAAATGTAGAATTAATTTAGATTATGCAGACTGTGCTGTAAAAGCATGATGCTGGCTGGAATTCAATTAATTACATGTGTCTCTGACCCTCCTAGGGCCTTTAGGTCTAACCATAAAAAAGGGAGATTATGATCAACTTAGAAATCTCTCTAAGGCAAACATATTTCAGTGGGAAGTACATTTTCCTATCTACAATATTTGGCTCAGCATAATTAACATGAATAATTTAGGACAATTTCCTGCTAGTTATTATATGTGTGTGTATATATATATAAAACTAATAAGATATATGTTCTTAAAATTAGTATTCTTGTTTGCCAATGAGGATTTTTATAATTATCTGTTCGTTTTAATTTTCCTAAAATTATTAACAGAACTGAGTCCGTTTTTAAGAGACGAATTGGGTAACATTTTTTTCTCTGTTCTGGAAAAACTTAAGCTGCCAATGGATCATCTCTTCCTTGAAACCTTGACAGAATCCACCCCTACCCTTCTCCATGTCCCCAAACTACCTGTCAGGTAGGCATTATTGTCATCATTTTGCATCGGAGAAAACGGAGGCTTAGGGAATTTGTCCTGGATCACCCAGATAGAAAGTGGTAAGCTCAGGATTTAAACCTGTGTGGTGTGACTCAGAAGCTTACATGGTTAAGCACTTTGTTATACTGCTATCTGGAATTTTACTTAGTGAAATATGTGGGGAACACTTAGAGAAGTATAGACAAATTATTCTAGGAAGATGGTGAATGTGGCAGCATGGTTTGTGAACTTCCATGACTCTCTACATTAGACAGAGCAAGTTTATGGCAAAACCAACAAAATTAGATGACCGGGTATTTCCATGAGGCCCAAAAGGCAAGACAGCAGGTGCAAATCAACCTCAGCCGCAAGACCTGCATGACAGCAAGATCTGGGAGGAGGCAGAGAGAAACAGTAGCTTATCTGAAGGAACTTAGACATCCCCACAGAGCCACCAGGTGACCGCTGAGAAGCACAGTAGGACAATTTCAGAACTACAGCAGAGCATAGAAGAGGCTTTGCTTTAATAACCAGTGGGCAACTATAAACGCTACTTGATAAGTTCCAAAAGGGTTCAGAGTAGTCTGGGTCAAACAAGCTCTCAAAACCAACAGCCAAAGCTGCCTTTCAGAACAGGGACCTACACCGATGAGAAACTTCTAGAAAAGGCAAAAAAAATTGGCAAAGTGAGGAACACCATGTTTGATGATACACTAGTCTTCTGGTGGGGATGGAGGAGAACTGCAAATAAGTTCTGAATTCATTTTTAGTTTGTTTGTTTGTAACAGCATGGGTGAGGCAATTCGGAAATAATTTTCTTATTAAAAATATTTACTTATTGGCCGGGCGCGGTGGCTCAAGCCTGTAATCCCAGCACTTTGGGAGGCCGAGACGGGCGGATCACGAGGTCAGGAGATCGAGACCATCCTGGCTAACACGGTGAAACCCCGTCTCTACTAAAAAATACAAAAAACTAGCCGGGCGAGGTGGCGGGCGCCTGTAGTCCCAGCTACTCGGGAGGCTGAGGCAGGAGAATGGTCTATACCCGGGAGGCGGAGCTTGCAGTGAGCTGAGATCCGGCCACTGCACCCCAGCCTGGGCGACAGAGCAAGACTCTGTCTCAAAAAAAAAAAAAAAAAAAATTTACTTATTTTTGTTTCGGCCAGGCACAGTGGCTGATGCCTGTAATCCCAGCACTTTGGGAGGCCAAAGCGGGTGGATCACTTGAGATTTTTTTTTTAATTTATGCTTTTGTTATCTGTGGTTTTGAGGTCTTAGCCAAAAAAATCTTTGCTCAGGCCAATGTCCTGAAGCATTTCTGAAACCATTTTTGATGCGTTATAGGATTGAGCAAACAAACTATATATATATGTGTGTGTGTGTGTGTATGTGTATGTATATGTGTGTGTGTATATATATCTGTGGGTGTGTGTATATATATATATGTATATGTTGATGACTTAGAGGGCCAGGAGTCTCAATTGTGGAAGAAGGAACATATAAATATAGAATTGCAGAAGGCAATAAAATGCTCTATAAAGCTGGATTGGAGTTGGAGGTATTCGTGTGAACTCATGATTTCTAAACTGTATATGTATGTGTATAGCTGCCTAGAAAGTATATGTATGTGTGTGTATGAATATATCTATTTCTGTGTGTGCATTTACATGTGTGTATGTATGCATTTATTTCCTAATTCTGTCAGCTAAAAGAGTCAAGAAAAAAAGTCAACCCAATAAGCACACTTAGCACCCAGATTTTTGTTTCTAATACCGTTCCCCACTAAAGGAGCCAGGGCTGTCCCAGAAAAACAGGTGATTCCAGGGCTGGAAAAGGGTTGGTACAAGACGAGTCTGAAACATTTTGTTAGGCCAGAATTTAAGAAATTGCTCAACAAAATGATGGGATCATGCTCCATCCTTTACACAGAATCCAGTTTGAGGAACTCTCACTGGCCAAATGTGGTATAAGTATCAAAATAACTGGCCGGGCGTGGTGGCTCATGCCTGTAATCACAGCACTTTGGGAGGCCGAGGCAGGCAGATCACGAGGTCAGGAGTTCGAGACCAGCCTGACTAGCATGGTGAAACCCGGTCTCTACTAAAAATACAAAAAATTAGCCAGGCGTGGTGGCAGGTGCCTGTAGTTCCGGCTACTCAGGAGGCTGAGGCAGGAGAATCGCTTGAACCTGGCAGGCGTGGAGGTTGCGGTGAGCTGAGGTCGCGCCACTGCACTCCAGTGTGGGTGACAGAGTGAGACTCTGTCTCAAAAAAAAAAAAAGTATCAAATAACTGCATATAATAATATTGGTAAACCAATGATAAATAGGAATGTATCAGTCCAATATCAGTAATAGATAAACAGAGAAGGGAAGACTCCTGCCCTCAGTAGCCTGCTGAATGCTGGCTGGGAACTACGGAAGGAGTGCTAGAGTTGGAAAATTATTATTTGGCAACCATCATAGTAAAGACTGGATCTAATAAGAATCATTTATGAATGTTAAATCTAGTGGAAAAATTTGAAGAGGAACTGGATATTTCAATGGTTTAAAGCATCTGTCACAGACCGTTTATTGGTTACAGGGGAAAATAAAACAGTAATTCTATAGTGGAGAAATTGGGCAATACTTTGACCAGGTGATTAAAATTAACATCACCATTGAGGAACAGATGGGCACTGAATACTTCTAGACAGGATACTTTTAGTAGGATATATCACTTATGCAGTATTCCAGCCAAGAAGAATGCATAACCTGAATCCAACCATGAAGAAATATCAGGCAAATCCAAAATAAAGATTGTCATATTAAGAAGGGTGGAGTAGGGACTCTATCCTTCAAAATGTCAGTGTCATCAAAGACAGAAAAGGGATATGGAAATATTCCAGAAGAAAGGAGGCTGAAGACCTTTGGCAACTGAATGTGGCACCTAACCCTAGACTGCATCCTGCACTGGAGAAGAAAAGATGATAAAAAGGATATTACTGGGTCAATTGACAAAGTTGGAATATAAATGGTAGATTAGTGTATCCATGTTATGTTTACTCGAGTTGATAATTCCACTGTGGTTTTGCAAGAAATTATCCCTGCTCCTAGGAATAACGATATACAGAGAAGGCTTAGTTTAAAAAAACCATCATTTTACAACTGCCACAGTAAAGACTGGATCAGGTAAAAATCACTGGATCAGGTAGAATCATCAATGAGTGTTAAATCTGGGGGAAAATTTACATTGAAATTTTTGGGGTTAAAGGGCAATGATATATATAACAACCTCAAATAGTTAAAAACATATGAGAGACACTTTGGGAGGCTAAGCAGGGTGGATCATTTGAGGTCAGGAGTTCGAGACCAGCCTGGCCAACATGGTGAAACCCCATCTCTACTAAAAATACAAAAAAAAAATTAACCGAGCGTGTTGGTGCGTGCCTGTAATCCTGGCTACTAGGGAGGCTGAGGCAGGAGAATCGCTTGAACCTGAGAGGCACAGGTTGCAGTGAGCCGAGACTGTGCCACGGCACTCCAGCCTGGAAGATACAGTGAGACTCTGTCTCTGTTTCTTTGCAGAACTTGGGACTGGAAACAGGTGTAGCAGGAGACGGTTGTATTTTTCTCTAAGATTTGAAATAAAATCTGACATTTTATCATCCCACCCGATATTGATGTTGGCCAAAAACCTGTTCTTGATTTTCTGAGCCTAGATCCCAACTCAGTTGTACAAATACAAAGTACTTTCTGTAACTCTATTGCACATTGGGGTTTTCCAGGAATACTAACTAATATCGAGGGAACATTTCACTTTTAAAAAAATGTTCAGCATTTCAGAAAGAGTGTTACTTGTGGAGGTGCCACACATGCATATCTGCCTCTGTCTGCATTTATAGCTGTCTTCATTCATACTGCTTTATCCTCATCCACAGAGGGGTGAGTATTACACCACAGCATTTTGACTTGATGTGTAGTTCTACTTAATCATTTTCATATTAAAACACACTATCTTATAATGGATTCCTTGACCTTTGTTTCTATTACATAGTACTATTAAGGAATTAAATCCATGGTTTTGAAATTATATATAAGTAGTCGACATATTATCAATGATTTTTTTTCTAAAGAAATAGGGACTACTCCAGGTCACTCAGGCTGGGGTGCAGTGGCATGATCTTAGCTCACTATAACTTAGCTCCTGGGTTCAAGTGATCCTTCTGCCTCAGCCAAAGTAGCTGGGACAATAAATGTGTGCCACCACACCTGGCTAAATAATTTTTTTCTTTTTTTTTTTTTTTTGTAGAGACAAGGGTCTCACTGTTTAGCCCAGGCAAGTCTGGAACCCCTGGCCTCCAGTGATCCTCCTGCCTCAGCCTCCCGAAGTGCTGGGATTGCAGGCAGAAGTCACTGGGCTCAGCCACCAATGACTTTTTTTTAAATTGTGGTAAAACATATATGACATAAAATTTACCATTTAACCATTTAAGTATATAATTCAGTGGCATTAATTACACTAACAATGACTGTAAAATATTTCTCATAATAAAGAGGAATTGCAAGGATCAGAATTTTCTTTTGCTATAAAGGACTGTATTAAAACGATAGTCAATATCTGAATAAAGACTGTAGATTAGGTAATAGTTTGTATCAAATCTCAATACAAATGTTATTGCAGTTTGAGAACCAGTGAACAAGATGATCTTTTCCAACCTGGGCAGAGGAGAGTTATGAAAACTGTACTGTCCTAATGTCTCATAACGATCTGTTTAATAAGTAACTAGGACACAATCCGTTATCACAGTGTAAGAGTACACAAAAGGTCATGTCTAAGGTTAATCATTATCAATGTCACTTAAGACATAAACTTGCAGGCAAGAATGGACTCCTGCTAAGGTGTCTTTCCAGCCAACCATGGACTCTGCACAGCCACGGACCCATACATGGCTTCCCTGCACCCACACTCAGATCACCAACATTCTGTCCCTCCCTATCCACCAGCAACCCTCCAGCCTGGGAGGTTGCCTCCTTCGGGGGCCCCTTTCACTGTGCATTGTCCTCTGTTCTCTGTCTTCATGCCTGCTCATGCTCTTTTTTTGAAAAAAAATTATCTATTTACTTTTTTGAGACGGAGCCTCGCTCTTGTCGCCAGGCCGGAGTGCAGAGGTGTGACTTCGGTACACTGCAACCTCCGCCTCCCGGGTTCAAGCATTTCTCCTGCCTCAGCCTCCTGAGTAGCCAGGACTACAGGTGCATTCCACCATACCCAGCTAATTTTTGTATTTTTAGTAGAGATGAGGTTTCACCACGTTGGCCAGTATGGTCTCCATCTCTTGACCTCATGATCTGCCTGCCTCGGCCTCCCAAAGTGTTGGGATTACAGGTGTGAGCCACTGCCCCTGGTCTGCTTTAGAATCATAAAGCTGTAGATGTCAGCACCAGAGGAGAACTGGGAGATTAGCAAGTCCAACGATTTAAGAAACGTGTGAACTCTAAGCCCCTGACACCTGTGAGCTCCTCTGCTTCCCTCTGCCTCACCTAACCTTCCCATCCTGGGGAATACTTAAGTACCCTCTCCAAGAGTACGACCCCCAATGCCATCCATCAGGGAGTATCCTCTTCTCTGGGTGTGCACAGCACATTTTCTGTACTTGTCCGTGCACTCTAGTTCAGCATGTATTTTAGTACGTTTGCATGTATTGTCATACGAGACTAATTATTTCATGTGCAGAATTCTTATCTCCTTAGCCAGATGGTAAACTCCCATTGCTCAAGAATCTTTGCTACACTCACACACAGCTCAACAATATGCAGTCAGTGCTGGGCAATGCTCACATTGCATTGGGAAGGCTCATGCCATCTAATCTAAGCATCTAGTTCACTTCCAACAACGACTCAGCACAACAGAGAAGCAATAGGAAAGGTCAGCCTTTTCTCTCATGAACTCTCAGACACCTGCCTAGACTGTGAACTTGAGATTATTTTGTTAGTCACTGATACATGAGGAGCAAATAAGTTACTCTTTGTTTTTTACATGTGCTGCTGAATCTTCAGATTCCTTCTTTCCTCACTGATTATCTCCCCAAAATGTAACGTTTGTTTATTTGTTTGTTTTTGAGATGGAGTCTCGCTCTGTCTCCGAGACTGGAGTGCAGTGGTGTGATCTTGGCTCACTGCAACCTCCGCTTCCCAGGTTCAAGTTATTCTGCCTAAGCCTCCCAAGTAGCTGGGATTACTGGTGCGCATCACCATGTCTGGCTAATTTTTGTATTTTTAGTAGAGACGGGGTTTCACCATGTTGGCCAGGCTGGTCTCAAACTCCTGACCTCAAGTGATCCACCTGCCTCAGGCCTCCCAAAGTCCTGGGATTACAAGTGTGCGCCACTGCACCAGGCCCCCCAAAAATGTGACTTTATTAAAAAAGTACTTAAAATGTACTTTAAAATTTTTTAACACTTATTTGTGACATATGTCTTACCATGGTGGTCTTAGATAGAGTGAACTTAAGAAAAATCAGTATAATAATACAAAGTACTTTCCTTGTGGTTCACGTGTCAGATAATCAAACTGAAAATGAAAGTATAAATCTGGACATGGTCTGAGAAAGAATATAAAGGTTATCTCGCAATGGAAAAGGCAGGAGACCAAGTCCTTCTCTTTACTACTAAAGAGCTGTGTTTGGCATTTATACCAGTGCCATCCTCCACTGCCAGCCTCCCCAGATATACACAAGTTCTTGAATGAGACGTTTTGTTCTTTCTTTACATCCATTTTTTCATATCCTTGATAAGAGGGGAGATTTATACCCTAGAGCCGCTCACGACTTAAAAGTCTACCACTCTGTGAACACAGGATCTTGGAAGCTCCCTTTTTTCTCATTAAGGCTTTGAAGAGACACCCCTGCGAATTTAAGACATCCATAACCTTGACCCTTTAAAGGCTGTTGACAGTCTACACATCCAGCTTGCTGATATTAGCACTCTGGCCCCATCTGACAACCTCTTGAAGTTAAAATGCCAGGAGGCTCTGAACTCACAGCAATTAACAAAACCACACAGATGAAGAGGGAGAGGATGGAGAGGTAGACCTGGAGTCGCTCCCCACCAAACCGCTTCTTGAGATATTCCGGCATGGTCATCACCTGCAGAGACAGACATTAACAGGGACTTACCCTTAGTGCCCTGTGCATTCAGATTACTCAGCATTTCCTAAGCACCTGTGAGTGAAAGTGCTGTGTATGGCCCCTTCCTGGTGATGGAACCATGGCTTCTTATTCATAGAGGCACCCCTGATGCCAGGCACAATGACTGTGCCTGGCAGAGGGTGGGTGCTCAAACCATGCTTCTGAAGAGATGGACACTCCCATGGATAACTCCAGCCAAAGTCTCTCTCCTGACCCATCTGCAGATCTCACTTTCCCACTGCCGGCTGGGCATCTCCACCTTAGTGTCCTGAATGCACCAAACACTCATCCTGTTGAAAAGTGAAATCATCATTCTCCTTGTCATCCATCATCTGCCTCTGATCTGGAATCTTTGGCTGCATTAATGGTGGCCTCGTGTACTCCAACCCTCGAGCTTCAAGTCTTAGAGCTGATCATAATGCTTCCCCCTCCGCTGCCTTCACCTTTACTCTGCCATCAAACCTGTCATCTCTGCTCCAGGGTCATTATGCAGGGGCACCACAGATTTCCCCGCTGGCTGCAGCCACGTTCTATACCAGAAACCTCTCTAGTCAAGAAATCTGATTTGTTTGTCTCTCTGTATATTTCTAGCAATAGGCCAGGTGAAGGGCAGGGACCCATGTTTCATGATCGAAGAGAAAAAATAAGTAAATAAATGAATGTCTGACAGATTTACCCGAACACTAAGGATATGGAACTGGCCCGGTTGTCCCACAGAACTGATGTCTGTGGTTTATTTGAATAAGCATAGAAACTGATCCTCCCACTGTTACAAATTGAGAAAGTTATCTTTGGCTTATCTGAGTTCCTCTCTCAGGAAATCAACCATCAGTTCTCCCAGATAGGGTCAAAGAGCTGAAACTCACTAGATCACCACACCTGGACAGTGAGAAGCCAGACCCCTCGCCCCTTATAATCGTCTAACCCACCACCTGCTTCCTGTTGACTGACTTCTCTTCCTTATCCCCACCCCTAATTCCTGTTTTCCTATATATGGTTACATATCTTCCCTGTAATATAAATCCCTAATTTTAGTCCATCAGGAAGATGGATTTGAGACTGAGCTCCCATCTTCTCAGCTGCAGCACCCAAATAAAGCCTTTTTTCCTGGCAATACTCATTGTCTCAGTGAGTGGTCTTCTGTGCAGTAAGCAGCAGTGCCTAGGACTGAACTCTGGCATTTTGGTAACAGATACTCACCCCCGACTTGATGTAGATGGGGACAAAGATCCACCCGAGAATTGGCAACATTACTGAGGACTACAAGGAACCAAAATAAGAGACAGTGAGACGTTAAAGAGGCTTGGCTTGTGGACCTTCTCCTTATATGACCTCTGAGTTTGGATATTAAAAAAAAAAAAAGTTGGCTTAATCCTGTCCCATTCAAACAATTACAATCCCGATATTATTGTTAGTTCCTTTTTTTTCTGTTTCTATGACTTAGGGGCCACCATTTTCTGGGGATTAAGTTGTGGTGAAAAAGGGAAAGAAGATAAGGGTTCTGATCCCAGTGGAACCCCTGGAAGATCATACAATCTTGGCCAAAGGGAATTTTTCTTGAGTTGCATAAATGATAAATGGAGTGACAAAGCAATGAGAAAGGAACCTGGAGATAGAAGAATATCACCAGTGCTCCCTAAGTCTTCCCACATACAATGATGATAGTAATACAATCTAGCATTAATATGCAACTTTTACAGAGTCTTCACATATATCACTTACGCTGCTCTCAGCCTAAGTGAGGCAGATATGAGAAGCACAGTTATTCTTATCTTACAGAGGGGGAACTTGAGCCTTACACCTTACAGAGATTAAGGGGGCCCAAGGTCACAGTGACAGGGGGAGCAGCTGAGTTCTCTGCAGCTGGCTCGTCACACCCACTTGGTCCATAGGTCATTCTGGTCACGCCTCTGGAGACTGGCTTCATTCTGGTGTCCATGGCACTATTAAAACAAAGCTCCAGGCAAGGGCCTATCTGGAGGTTGGGTCCATCCTGGACTCCTGGATACTACTGAAGTAAATGTAGGGGCAAAATCTTCAACAGTGGAGGGGCACAGGCATGTATGATCACTCAAGATCACTTTCTGAGTTCAGCCAGGGATGGTCTGTTTGCACTTTCACTATGATACAACTTTCCTTTAAATCGTTTCCACAGGCATCGTCTTCTGCCTAATATGCACATGCATGTAAATGAAAACACCAGAAAGAGTAAGACAGAAGAATAGAAAAACTCAGGCAGCTCAAGAGCTACTGGTAGCATATCCATCACGTGTCCAGCCATGTGCTAGAGCAAACTTGTCCAACATGTGGCTCAAGCTTGGTTTGAATGTGGCCCAACACAAATTTGTAAACTTTCTTTTAAAATAATAAGGTTTTTTGGTGATTTTTTTTTTTTAGTTCATCAGCTATCATTAGTGTTAGTGTATTTTATGTGTGGTTCAAGACAGTTCTTCTTCTTCCGGTGTGGTCTAGGGCAGTCAAAAGACTGGATACCCCCGTGCTAGAGGATGGGCTGGACACATAGTGGGAACTCAGGGAGGAGAGATGAAAAGGAGAGCTAAAATGATCAAGTGAACATAGAGATCGAGGCATATAGAAATGACATTCCTGGTGGGAATAACTGCTTGAGAAAAATCTTAGAGGTGAGCAATAATGTGCATGGAATGGGCTAGGCAGAATGGGGCCACAGAAGTGCTGAAGGTCAAACAAGAGGTGGAGGCTGGGTGCAGTGGCTCACACCTGTAATCCTAGCATTTTGGGAGGCTGAGGTGAGAGGATCACAGAGCTCAGGAGTTAAGAGACCAGCCTGGGCAACATAGGGAGACTCCCATATCTACAAAGAAACAAAAACCTAGCTGGGCAGGGTGGTGCACACCTGTGGTCCCAGCTACATGGGAGGCTGTGGTGGGAGGATTGCTTGAGTCCAAGAGGTCAGTGAGCCATGATCCTGCCACTGCACTCCAACTTGGGTTACAGAGCAAGGCTGCGGGAGTGTAAATTAGTTCAACCATTGTGGAAGACAGTGTGGCGATTCCTCAAGGATCTAGAACCAGAAATACCATTTGACCCATCAATCTCATTACTGGGTATGTACCCAAAGGATTATAAATCATTCTACTATAAACACACATGCACATGCATGTTTACTGCAGCACTATTTACAATAGCAAATACTTGGAATCAACCCAAATGCTTAACAATGATAGACTGGATAAAGAAAATGTGGCACATATCTACCATGGAATACTACACAGCCATAAGAAAGGATGAGTTCATGTCCTTTGCAGGGACGTGGATGAAGCTGGAAGCCATCGTTCTCAGCAAACTAACCCAGGAACAGGAAATCAAACACCACATGTTCTCATTCATGAGTAGAAGTTGAACAATGAGAACACACGGACACAGGGAGGGGAACATCAGACACTGGGGCCTGTCAGGGGGTGGGGGGCAAGGGGAGGGAGAGCATTAGGACAAATACCTAATGCATGCAGGGCTTAAAACCTAGATGATGGGTTCATAGGTGCAGCCAACCACCATGCCACATGTATACCTATGTAACAAACCTGCAGGTTCTGCACACGTATCCCAGAACTTAAAATTGACGAAGAAAACAACAACAAACAAATAAGCGAAAAAAAAAAAATCAAACTAAAGAGGCGAACATTCTATACAGACACCCAGAAAAACCTGGGATATGACTTTCATTAATATGCCTGGATGCTATGGTTTCAACTTGGTGTACCACCAAGTTCATATGTCAGAAACTTAACCCCCAATGCAACAGTATTGAGAGGTTGGACAATTAAGTGGTGATTAGGTCATGAGAGCTCTTCTCTCATAAATAGATGTTTGCCATTATCAAGATAGTAGGTTGGTTATAGTAGGAGTGGGTTCCTGAATTTAAAAAATGAGTTTCACCCTCTCCTCTCCTCTCCTCTCCTCTCCTCTCCTCTCCTCTCCTCTTCTCCTCTCTTCTCTTCTCCTCTCTCTTTCTTTCTCTCTCATCCTCCATCCCTCTCTCCCTCTCTCTCGTGCCCTATTGCCCTTCCACCTTCCACCTTCCACCTTCCACCGTGGGATGACGAAGTAAGAAGCCCTTGCCAGATGTGGGTCCCTCAGCTCTTGCACTTCCCAGCTTTCGGAGGTGTGAGAGACACATTTTGTTCTTTATAAATTACCCAGCCTGTGATATTCTGTCTTAGCAGCATAAAACATCCTAAGACACTGGATATGGTTTTGATTTAAAGGAAAAAGCCTATGATGTCACTTACAGTCCATTCAAATGTGACAGTGGCGACTCCTGAAGCTGCTCCTGTCCCAGCCAGCCCCACATAGTGGTTGCTGCCGATGTTACTGGCAAAGAGAGAGGCGCCCATCTGGAATGCAAGAGAACAGACCAGGGTTGGGGTTAAAAGATCCAAATCAGACTTCTTGAAAATAGATGCTGAGATGTTTCAGTCACCACTCCTCAGAGCAGGAGTCAAGCAAACGACGGCCGCGGGCTAATCCAGCCCATGGTCAGTTTCTGAATGGCCCATGAGCCAAGAATGTGTTTTTACATTTTTGCATTGTTAAATAATAGTTAACAATCTAAATAAGCAAAATATTTTGTGAAATGTGAAATTGTAAAAATGTGAAATTATGTGATTCAAATTTCATTGTCTGGAACACAGCTACGCTCATTGGTTTTCCATACGGACTTGGGCTACTTTTTGTGCTACAATAGCAAGGTTCTGTGGCTGCAATAGACGATATGGCTAGAAAACCCTAAAATATTTACAATCTGGCCTTTTACAGAAAAGCTTGTTGGCCCCTGTCTTGGGAGAGCGTTGGTCAATCTACTAAAATGCTCTGAGTTGAGCCTGTCCTTGGCCAAGCACTGCCAGATCTCCCATCAACTCTTGTCCCCTTAATCATATGTAAAGACCCCAAGCTGTCTAGGAGGGAATTTCTCTCCACCCTCCCAGCCACGGGACCCTCTTTTCATTCATCCCCTCACCATCACAGTGCCTGCTGTTCTAAAGACCCAAAGATCAAGAGAGGTCTCTTGAGTGGGCGTGGATGAGCACCAGTCCTGGCAGAAGAGAATTGGGGTATGGCTCTTCCCACTTTTTAAGGCCTCTGTAAAATCACTTTCTCTACTCAGCTACATGGGGCCAGAGGATGGGATTCAGCTGCTTTTTGGTTTCAAGATCGCTTGAGCCTCCTTGTGTGTTTCACTAAACAGTCCTAAAAATGCAATGTCTGATTGGATGCCCCAAATAAAATTCATTTCAAACTTCCAGTTGCTCTGCTTCCATCACCCCAGCCAGGACAGTTGCCCATCTCCACTTCCCCTCATACCATTTAGAAAATGAGTCAGACCTGTGAAGGAAGCATTTGCCAAGCACCCACTGTATAATGTGATGCCGGGCTGACACTCTCCAGGTGCAGAGGGGAAGATGCAGCCTCTGCTGCAGTGGGACCCTGGCTGAGGGGGCCGCACATCAAAACCCCACAAGAACACCCACTGGGCACGAATCAGGAGGCATCAGCATTAGCACCATCACAGGGAACACAATCAATAACTGCACGGGACGTAGGGACCCATGGGGAGAGCTGGGCGGCTCCTCAGATGAGGAAGGGCTGAGGTGAGGGATTGAAGGAGGACAGCAGACAAGGGAGGGCCAGTCCTAACGAGAGGGCCAGCATCAGCTCAGGACTGGCAACAAAGCAGGAATGTGCAGAGCTCATAAGCCAGGAGAAGACTCTTGATAAGGAGCAGAAGAAAAGAACATGAGGTGGCTCTGGACTGGGGTCCTTCAGTGCCAGACTGAACCTGCTGTCATAATAGGTGACATATTGTCATGTCCTGGAATTACAGAGAGGAGCCATGAGGTCAGGGATTTAGGAAAGCAGTCCCAGCGAGGAGGCAACTAATGTACGTCAGAACTGTTCAACATTCCCAATGTTTTCTACATTCACTGTTTTTTTTTTTTTTTCTTTGAAATGGAGTTTCACTCTTGTTGTCCAGGCTGGAGTGCAGTGGCATGATCTAGGCTCACTGTAACCTCCGCCTCCCAGGTTCAAGTGATTCTCCTGCCTCAGCCTCCTGAGTAGCTGGGATTGCACACATGCACCACCACGCCCAGCTAATTTTTATATTTTTAGCAGAGATGGTTTCACCATGTTGGTCAGGCTGGTCTCAAACTCCTGACTTCAGATGATTTGCCAGCCTTGGCCTCCCAAAGTGCTGAGATTACAGGCGTGAGCCACTGCGCCCGGCCTACATTCACTTTTAAGCACACACTCAGGAAATTTATCTCCAGAAAACTTTGGTCCGCTTACCGGTCCAGAAAACTTACCGGCCACCAGGCCATATCACGACCAGCGAGGAAGAAGCCTCCTATAGTACCTCGGTTGGTCCTCAGCATCGCCTGAGTGGAAGGGAAGAGAGATGAGGGTCAAGCCACAGCAAGTGCACCCAGATACCCCAGAGGCTCTGGCCAGGGTGCTGACAGGGGTGACTTCAGTGCTCCTACAGAGAGAAGCGTTTCGCTGGAAAGTGTTCTACAGCATCAAGTTTTAAAGGACTTCAAAAACAATCGCTCTGTAAAAACCCAGAGCCGGAAGAACTTAAAAAAAAAATCATAATCCTCAACTTCTGTCTTAACTGCTGTGATTATTCTCACTTACAAAAACCATGTGAGGTATCACTGAGCCATGCTTGCAAGAAAATTTGCAGTCTCAAACTTATTAAAAAGAAAAAAATCAACGTAAATGAAGAGTCCAACTCACTAAATCAGAAAGTGAGCAAACAACAAAAGAAAGTGAAAGAAATGCAATAATAAAAAATACCATCTTTGTCCATTATGCCAGGTGTTGGGGATGCAAAGTAAATCTGAAGGTCCCGGTGCTGGCTCTGTGCACACGATGGGGTCGTTAGGAGAACACATTAGCTCATTGTAAGCATTATTTATGCAACACACAAGAAAATGATTCTGATACTAACACGACATTTGTGAAAAGCTTTGTCACGACCTCACCCCTCCCCCCCTTAAGATGCCCCCTCCTAAACCTTGTGCCCACCCTAAAAGCCACTGGGATTCCACCTACCCACAGCCCAACAGCCATCACCACCAGAAAATAGATGACAATGACTGAGACGTCAGCAGCATTTCGGATGCGATCAGACAATGGAGGTGGCTCTGGGGTCTCAGTCGTGGTGCTGGGGCTAACCGTACTGGCCATGGCTGCAGGCAGTGCTATATCCATTCCACAGCATAAGCCATCTTTATATAAGTTCTGGGTTAATTATCAGCCTCAGGCAGGTGGGGCGAGATATCAGAGCCAGCTCCTGGGTATGGAGACCTTTAAACCTCTCCTCCAAAGCTATGGCACCCTAGCCCTCCACCAGTGAGTGCTAGCCTAGGTAGAGTGTGAGAATGAGGGATGCAGGGCCAGAAATGAGGGGAGAATCTGAGGTGGAGCATGGGGCGTTCTCTCGAGTGCAAAGACAGGGTCTTTAAGGAGATCTGACCAGGTGGAGGCGGGATTTGAGAGAAATGAAGACAGACAAGGAGGGGAGAAGGACAGAGGAGAAGGAACCAGAAACCAACCAGGAGAGGCTGAATGCAATGGTCCCTCAGAGAACAGATACAATTTCTGACCAATGAGCTATATCCCTTGACAATGAAGTGAATTATGCCTTTCATGGATTCCAAAGTCCCACATTTCTCTGAAGTGAGTTTCATATGCCACAAAAAGACATTGGTGGCCTGTATAGGAAAGGAAGTGGCTCTTCAGGCACCATATGTGGAGAGTTGAGGGCAGAGCTGTGGAGAGCGCTGGGTCAGAGGGTTGTACAAGAAGTGAATCAACCTGGAAGCATGTGATGGGGATCACGAGGACTCAGGAAACAAGACCCCTGGACCACAGCTAAGAAGAAGTTAGAAGTAAAGCCTACGTGGTGGCTGACACCTGTAATCCCAGCACTTTGGTAGGTCAAGGAGAGAGCATCACTTGAGACCAGGAGTTCGAGACCAGCTTGGGCAACATAGGGAGTCTTTGTCTCTACAAAAATTAGCTGAGTGTGGTGATGCATGCCTGTGGTCCTAGCTACTTGGGAGGCCGAAGAGGGAGGATCACCTGTGATTGGGAGGTCAAAGCTATAGTGAGCCATGATCATGCCACTGCACTCCATCCTGGGCAACCAAGTAAGATCCTGTCTCAAAAAAACAAAACAAAACAAAACAAACAAAAAAACTGGAAAGCCCAGAAATTCTTCTTTTATAGTTCATTTTTTTATTGTGGCAAAATATACATAGCATACAATTTACCATTTTAATCCCTTTTAAGTATACAACTCATCGGCATTAAGTACATTTACAGTGTTGTGCAACCATTACCACTATCCATTTCCAGAACTTTTTCATCATCTCCAAACAGAAGTATGTACCCACTAAAAACTAATTCCCCATCTCTCCCTCTCTCTATGCCCTGGTAACCTCTGTTATTCTTTCTTACTATATAAATTTGCCTATTCTAGGTACCTCATACAAATGACATCATACAATATTTTCCTCTTTGGTTTATTTCACTTAGTAAAACATTTTCAAGATTCATCCATATTGTAGCACATATCAGAATTTCCTTTCTTTTTAAGGCTGAATAATATTCCAGTACATGCATAGGCCACATTTTGTTTATCCATTCAACTGTTGATGGGCAGTTAGGTTCTTTCTATACTTGGCTATTATAAGTAATGCTGCTGTAAACATTGGTGTGCAAGGATCTGTTTGAATCCCTACTTTCAATTATTTTGAGTATATATGTAGAAGTGGAATTGCATGTGACAATTCTGTTTAACTTTTTGTAGAACTGCCAAACTGTTGTTCATAGCAGCTGCACCATTTTACATTCTTCCCACAGTGCATAGGAGAGTTAATTTCTCCATATCCTCTTTAATACTTGTCATTTATCTTTTAATTATAGACATGCTAGTAGGTATCAAGTGGGTATCACAATATAGTTTTGATTTACACTTCTAACACAATCGCTAGTAATGTTCATGATTTTTCATGTGCTTATAGCCTTTTGTGCATCTTCTTGGAGAGATATATATTCAACTTCTTGGCCCATTTAAAAACTATGTTGTATTCTTTTTTATACTGCTTCTTGTGGAGCAGGACCAACTCATAGGCAGTCTGCGCAGAATAGCCTTATGTTGTGTTTTTGTTGTTGTTGAATTGTAAAATTTCCTTTTTATTTCTCAGAGACAGGGTCTCATTTTGTCACCCAGGCTGGAGTGCAGTGAGGTAAGCATGGCTCACTGCAGCCTCAACCTCCTGGGCTCAAGTGATCCTCCCATCTCAGCCTCCCCCGTAGCTAGGACCACAGGCACATGCCACCCATGCCTGGCTAACTTTAATTTTTTTTTTTAGAAGGGGGGATCTTTTACTATGTTGTCCACGTTGGTCTTGAACACCTGGGCTCAAGTAATCCTCTTGCCTGAGCCTCTCAGAGTACTGGGATTACAGGCATGAGCCACTGCACCCAGTAAAGTTTTCTTTTTCTTCTTTTTTTTTTTTTTTTTGAGATGGAGTTCGGCTCTTGTGCAATGGCACAATCTTGGCTCACTGCAACCTCCATCTCCTGGGTTCAAGCAAATCTCCTGCCTCAGCCTCCTGAGTAGCTGGGATTACAGGAACACACCACCATGCCCGGCTATTTCTTGTATTTTTAGTAGAAACGGGGTTTCATCATATTGACCAGGCTGGTCTCGAACTCCTAACCTCAGGTGATTCTCTTGCCTCGGCCTCCCAAAGTGCTGGGATTACAGGTGTGAGCCACCATGCCCAGCTAAGGTTTTCTTTATGTATTCTTTATTTTATTTGTGAGACAGAGTCTTGCTCTGTTGCCCAGGCTGGAGGGTGGTGGTACAATCTCCACTCACTGCAACCCCCACCTCGTAGGTTCAAGCGATTCTTCTCCTGCCTCAGCCTCCCGAGTTGCTGGTATTATAGGCATGCACCACCATTTCCAGCTAATTTTTGTATTTTTAGTGGAGACGGGGTTGTGTCACGTTGGCCAGGCTGGTCCTGAACTCCTGATCTCATGTCATTTGTGAATAGAGATGATTTTACTTCTTTTCCAATTACAATGCCTTTTAATTATTTCTATTTCTTACCCGCTTATTCTGGCTGGGACTTCCAATGCTCTGTTGAATAGAGGAAGTATGGTTGATTCCAAAATATAAAAGAATCACCCACAACTCAATGGCAAAAACAAAAAAAATTAATAAGCCAATTAAAATGGGCTAAAGACTTAAATAGACATTTCTCAAAAAAAACATACCAATGGCCAAGAGGTATATAAAAAATTGTTCAACATCACTAATCATTGGGAAAATGTAAATCAAAACCAGTATGAAGTATCATCTCATACCTGTCAGGATAGCTATTAATTATTAAAAAAAAAAAAAAAGAAAGAAAAAAAGACAACAAGTGTCCAGGATGTGGAGAAACTGGAACTCTTGTACACTGTTGGTGAGGATGTAAAATGGTGGAGCTCCTACGGAAAACAGTAGGAACTTTCCTCAAAAAGTTAAAAATAGAACTACCAAGTGATCTAGCAATTCCATTTCTGGGCATGTATCCAAAAAAACTGAAATCGCCATCTCAAAAAGATGTATCTGCACACCCATGTTCTTAAGTACTATTCACAAAAGATACAGAAACAACCTAATGTCCATCAGTAGATGCATGGATAAAGACTATGTGGTATATGCATCAATGGAATATTATTCAGCCTTTGAAAGGCAGAATATTCTACAATATGCGACAATGTGCGTGAACCTTGAGGACATTAACGCTAAGTGAAATCATCTGTCACACGAAGTCAACTATTGTGTAACTCCACTTACATGAGGTACTCCAAATGGTCAAATACATAGAATTAGTGAGTGGAAAGGCAGTTGCCAGGGAGCGTGGGGGTAGGTAAATGGAGAGTTGCTAATTAACAGGCAGAAAGTTCCAGTTAAACAAGATGAATAAGTGGCAGAGATCTGCTGTACAACATTGTACTTATAATTAAAAGTACTGTTTTGTACACTGAAAAATTTGTTAAGGGGGTAAAGCTCATGTTAAGTATTCTAATTGCATAATTTTTTATTAAAGTCATGAAAGTGGACCATATGGTCTAGATCATAATCTCAGGGGAAAAGCTTTTAGTCTTTCAGCATTGAGTATGATATTAGCTATAGACTTTTCATATGTGGCTTTATTATGTTGAAGGAGTTTTCTTATATTCCATGTTGGTTGTTTTTTATCCAAGAAGGGCTGAATTTTGTCAATGATTTTTCTGCACCAGGTGTTTTTTTCTCCTTTGTTCTATTAACGTGGCTGCTTTTCATATGTTGACTGATTTTCTGATGTTG